TGACGTGACCGGTCAGGCATTGGGATGAGAGGCGGCCATCAGCGTCGGTCTTCAGGCAGAACATCGGCGGGGCACTGAACTTATTGACACCAACTGGGTTGACAGTAGACTCGGTATCGACTGGGTTGACAGTTGGCGGGGTATCAACTGGGTTGGCAGTAGATTTGGTATCGACTGGGTTGACAGTAGACTTGGTATCGACTGGGTTTACAGTTGACGGGGTATCAACTGGGTTGGCAGTAGACTTGGTGTCGACTGGGTTGACAGTAGACTCGGTATCGAATGGGTTGACAGTGGACTCGGTACCGACTGGGTTGATAGTAGACTCGGTATCGACTGGGTTGACAGTGGATTCAGTATCGAATGGGTTGACAGTGGACTCGGTACCGACTGGGTTGATAGTAGACTCGGTATCGACTGGGTTGACAGTGGATTCAGTATCGAATGGGTTGACAGTGGACTCGGTATTGACTGGGTTGACAGTAGACTCAGTATCGACTGGGTTGACAGTAGACTCGGAAACTGCAGGTATCTTGCAGATAGCTCGAAGCTCAACTTCACACGGGGTATCATGCCAATACATGTCGCGGTAAAACATTGCACATTGGTAACTGGAACGCCTGGGAAAGCTCGAGTGCCAGTAACCATCCCCACACGGAGTCCCATCGGATTGAACCCACTCGCCTGATGATGACGTCTTGGAGCAGTCGATCCACATGGAAAAATACTGCCCAAACTCCACGAGGACCATGTCCCGCATGAAATCTTCCTCCCCTTGTGTGTTAGGCACTGCCAAGCCACCCCCGATGTCATGACAAAAAACGTTTGCTTTAGCCCAAGTTTCGTCGTTGTTCATGATGCAGTATCCTTTACCATTAAATTGCTCTGTACTTGGACAAAATGCACCTGCCCCAATGCCGTTGAGAACGATCACTAGTGCCACCAATGCTTCCATTTTGATATGTTTTATGGTAAAAGCATATGTTTATCCGATGGTATCTTGATGAATCTTGATATACTTCATCGAATATGTTGCACAAATGGTGAAAACTAGCTCGCTAGCTCATGTCATTTGCTTGTGCCGACAGTGCGTCCACTATCTCCGTCTTGAAAACGCGAAATGGAGAAACGGCGAAGTTGTCGATTTGATAAAAAAGGGCCCTATGAAGAATCTAATCGGGCTTGCTTTTGATCAATAATTGTCCCGGCAACAGCAATAGACACATGCACAAGACGCGTATGCCGCCGGCAACAAATGGTTTTGTTCTGATCAAGGTCGTCCACCACGCTTGTTTCCAGTCGCAATATTTTTTTGCAGTGCCGTAGACACGTTAAAGATCAACTGTCCGTGCCCTACAACAAATAATTATTATTTTCTCCTAACAAAATTTTAGCTTTTTTTAAAGAAAAAGGCATAAACGTTTTTCTAGTTGGGCGTTGGGTTGCTGTGTGTGCAAACATTTTTAAAATGGGGCAATGTCATGAATAATTCAGTTTTTCCTTTGAATCATTGCAAGACTTAGGTTCTCGTTCTATTTTCCCCTTAATTTAAAAATATCTCAGTGATAAATTTGGAGAAGAAAAATAGCTGATGAAAATGAGCAGCGACGACGTGGATTCGAACCAGGGATATTTGTATCCATAAGCTCATCTCGCTATCCACTAGGCTACTGTGTGGTAGCTCGATGACAACCGTTCTTTAAAATGCTTTAATGTATTGTAACTAGTTGAGTAACTAACAACAATGCTGTTGATGTCATTGTCCGTTCTCATGGATAAACATAATTTTCCCATCGAAACTACTGAATTATTCATGACATTGCCCCTAACCCTCCTAGGAATAAAACTACGCGTCCGCCGTGATTACGAAAAACCATAACAGGATTGTTTTCGAAGTTAAAATTGAAAATCTTATCTCGCCAATATGAAGTTTCACATTTCATATTAATATGAGTCAATTGGAAAGGAGAGGAGTATTTTTGAGAAGGCGAGGACGTTATAATTACAATGATCGTGAAAACACGTAATGCACGTTGGAAATAACAATACATGTACCAACTACACGATATAGATCCATTTCTAGCCAATTACGGTATCGAATCAGGACACAGGAAGAAAGTTTCCTATCCAGGGCTTACTAATGGAAAAGAGGTTGGAAATAAAGTAAGCACTTGGGACGAGGTTGCGTTCCGTGTTATTTTCTAGTTTAATCTCGAAGAAAAATATATATATTTTTTCAATTGTTATTTTTCTAGTAATAAAAAGTTATTCACTTTCGCATATAGACATCGAACCAAACAAAATCCGCCGGCGTTCGGGTACTAAATTGTTTCTTCAAAAACCCGACTTCTTGACGCCCAGACATAGTAAGGCTTTCGCAGGGCAAGGGCGGATCCAGAACACAATTTTTGGGGGGGCCCAAAAAAATTTTGGTCCCCCAAAAAAGTGGGTCTAAAAAATTACGGCGTGGGGTTCGGGGCCCGCTAGGGCCCCGAAAAAATTTTGGATTCTAGATGCTCTGTGGTGCGATCTGAGGCAATTTCTGACCACTTTAACCAATTTTTTTTGAGGAAAAGATGGTGGTGTACTCATTGCCTGCCTTTATTGCGATGTCACATAAAAAAAAAAAAAATTGGTTTCGTTTTGGGGGGGGGGCCATGGCCCCCTTTGGCCCCCCCCCCCTGGATCCGCCCTTGTCGCAGGGTGGGTTCGTTTGTGCGCAAGATGAAAGCCCATTTCAGAGGGTTGCAGACGCCCAAAATTGGAATAAAGTAGGTTTTTCGTAAAAACAAAACAAAAACATACCCATTGAGAAAATTCGTTAGGAGAAAAAAATTCCATTAATAACCACAGTTTTTGAGGGCAGGTATTTAGAAGTAAAATCATTTTTTCTGTTTGCTGAAATATTTACATGGGTCCACTATACATGTCATGGAAATTTGAAATGTAGAAACCAGTTAGCTCAGTTTAAGATGCGGATGGTGTGCATTTCAGCCTTCCAGAGAAAAATCTATAAAAATTAATTTAAAATGTTTTGCTTCAATTTCTAGCAGGCCTAACGTTCCGTCCACCGAGGTAATCACGCGAAAATGCAATATTGTGCATTTGACAAAGAACTGCTGGTATGACTTATTCCGAAATGCAGAAACTACTTGCCGGGCCTGCGATCGATCGAGTAAACGGGGGAGTCTCTGTTTAGATGATTGCCGACCCAACAAACCGTTTTGTTCCGATCAAGGTCCCCAGCAGGCTTGTTGCCAGTTGAAATTTGTGTGCAGTCCTTAAAATTATAACGGCGCGGCTAAAAAAGAAACAACCCGTTTGACATGTCTAGCCAGTGGCGAATCTTGGAGTTTCGGTTACTACATCATAATGTTTCTCAGTGAATAAATTTAACATTCCGCCGACCTTTTGTTTATCATTAAAATTAGCAATCCCAATGCTTCGAACAACCCGTAAATATCCAAACAAGGGCGGATCCAGAAAACAATTTTTTTTTGGTGGGGGCCGGTGTCCAAATTGTCCCCCCCCCCCAAAAAAAAAAGTGGGTCCACAAATTTACGGCGTGGGATTCGGTGTTCCGAAAACGTTTTGGATTCTAGATGCTCTGTGGTGCAATCGGAGGTAATTTCTCACCAGTTTAACCAATTTGTTTGATGGTGTACGCATTGGCTGTTTTTTTTTTTTTTTGCGACGTCACTTTAAAAAAACACCAAAAACACTTGGGCTCTTTTTCAATTCCCTCCCCCCCCCCCCCGTCCTTGTATAGAAAGAAAAAAATATATATATCAAGAGTTTAAAATACACCAGACTATAATTAAGGAACACATAGGCCTATAAGTTAGTATTTTAACATCTTTTTTTCAGGTCAAATATTTACATGTACATGTACACATATCCAAATTTACAATTGCAAAATAGAAATTCCATTTCAACACAAAGGGCCTACAGTTTTTGCAAATAAAAAAAACGGGGGGAAAAATGTAATCTCGACATGCGTTGTAGTGAAGCTTTAGCTCAGCATGTTGAAACAGCCTAAGCAGAAGTTGAACTAACATGTCCCCAAGCAAACAGTTTGACCATGTTACTTGAGACTTAAAAGTGAACCCATGAATGTTAACTCTTATTGTGAACACTGAAAGAATAACCAACTTGCAGAGCCACGTTGAGGATCATGTCTGTTAAATTAAAACAAAAGTTGAAGTGTACCCTTGTCAAAGTTTAACATTCTTGAATACACAAGTAAAACTTGCATCTGTTCAATTTCAAACTGGTAATTCAATTTACCTCTTTTTAGAATACCCACTTTGTTGTGCTGACTTTTTTGCCAAAATGCAACAACCCCACCCAACCCCCATAAAGCGTTACCAATAGAACATAAGGCAAATTCTATGAGGTCTATTAAGTTTTTGTAAAGCACTTTTGGCAGTAACATCAATCGCTATGTTGGAATATGAAGATTTTTTTTAATTATAAATAATTGGACAAATTATTTCATTCTTTGCTAACCTATAGACCAATTTGGCGAAAAACAACCAGAGGCCATTTTTGAGGTGGAACCACATTCGCATGCATGCAGCATGCGAAATTAAAGACGAGGGGCACGCATTTTGGCAACCCTATTCGTCGAAGGAGCCCACAGTGCGTGAATAATATACCTGAGCGTGGCTCGCGCGGGCCTGGTGCCACCGCGGAAAATGGCTGCCGCCAAATTAGTGACAGGCAGTTAAGCATACATACACTTTAACACTTGCTTGGTTTTATCCCAAGAAACCAAAAGGCTGCAATTCCTTATGATTTACACAAAGTTATCGATACGGGCAATTCCACAGTTACTCATGTTACATTTTCGTAACGTGAGTAACCAATTTTGTGCATCTTCTTTATCATACATAACACATTTTTCTGGATGTCATCTTTGTTGTTTAGGTAGGTCTAGGTCTACTCTATCTTCCATGGGGTTAACAGTTATTAAACCTTTCCAGTAATGTAATTACAGCCCAAGGAATCTCAAAAGTACATCAAAAATGTAACGTGAGTAACCGTGGAATTGCCCATATCCATCATATACATAGCAGTAGTATACGAACTACTAATACAACATTCGAACTTCCTCACAATGAAATGTTTGCACCAAATCTATAAACATCTCGAAAAATACACACAACACACAAAGTCTTGTTCTGGAATTGTGGGGGCCACACTCCTGTTGAACGATACTTATTGTGGGGACCGAGGACGCAATAGGGAGAGCAGCAATTCCCCATAACTCGGTCCTGATTTCCCAAACAATAGAAAACTTCCCCATAATGCGGTGTCAGCTGAGGCACATGTGCATATGGGGCACATCCACGTACCTTGGTCAACATGTGGAATGGGTTTTCAGTCCCTTCCTGATTCCGTGGGTTTTTTCCCGACAATATTCTTCTGGGTTTTTCCTGCCACCTCTAAAATGCTAATTTCTTTGCTCGTCTCTCTACAGGTTTCTTCAGACTTGCAAGTTACGGTGACTAGGACACTTTTGAAGAATCCTTGGTTTCATTACCAGAAATAAACAAATATATAAAGTCTTTATTGATCTCGGCCTGTGACAATGATTGCAGTGCTTTGGTTTTGGGCATACCACGGCTGTGCACCGGTGGTTAGATAAGTTAATTGGCTGCATTATATTGACCACGCACAAAATTCAAACTGCCCCCTTTCTGTGTGACAATAGGAACTTCTACTGATATGCCAATTCTAACGAATTCTTTTATGCAATTACAGGCACTTTCACAAATTTCCGAGCAACAAGTCCAAATACAGTCCATCCATCGTTCCCTCATGCGCTTATTCAGCATTGGCGTTGCTGTAATCAACTTCGGCTGATGCTGCCCTCAATGCTGCCACGCATTCCACCGACACGTTCATCGTCCCGATCAAAATGGACTCCTCCTTAGCATAGTGAACTGCGATGGAAAAACAATTGTTACAAACTGTGATGCACCAAGGCATGACTCCAACTGAATCAGAACATGAATCAGAACAGCCATTTGTACTGTTCTGGTTTCCAATCACACTTTTGACAACGCAAAACTGGTTTAGGGAATGTATTCACAAATCACAAGTTGTTGGGTGATATTGACTACCTTCGGTTGTGAAGGGACAACACTATCCAAAGTAAATTTGCATTACTTCAACAGAATAAAGCATGATGCAGTATTATTTTATTGCAGGTGCTTTTCCACCTCATGCTGTATGTAAGTGGGGCCTGTCTCAAGTCATGTCGGGAAGGAGTTCCGCACATTGTATCGGGTATAAATTGCAGAATTCTGAACAACTTCCCCACAATCTTTCCACATTGAAGTAATCAGTATTAGTGAGTCTAGCAGTTGCTCATGCAAATTTTCCCGGAAAATGTCCAGGACAATTGCAGAGCTTCTTCCAGACAAAGTGAATGATTCTACCCGCAACTTGTTAAGAACTCGTCCCAGATATGACTTCATTAGCAAGTGATTAAAATAGCACACACAATTTTTGAAATCCCTCCCACAGAATACCTATAATAATTGCATGCATGTATCACACATTGCACACAGAGTTAAGTTGGGGTCAAAAAGATCCTAACTTGCAATGCTAGTGTTAAACAGTTGTGAGTTCAGGAGCTAAACTTGGGTACTAAGTCCCCTGTGCTACCTACAAGCTGGGAGTTAGTATGTGTGTCATGCATCCACCAATGAAAGAAGTGTGTTTGCTCATAAATATGTATAAAGCCCGGTTCATACTCGGCGCGAAAGCGAAAGCAAACGCGAATTTGTGACGTCATGGAGAGTATTCGCGATGCGAATTTGTAAAAGTTGAACATATTTCAACTCGGGCAAATTTCGCAGCGAATGTTTCATGACGTAAAATTTGCTTGAAGTATGAACGGGGCTTAAGATGGCAAATCTACATTTCCCTGATGCCATTACCAATGAAAGGGGTGCGTATGACCCCTGAAATGAGTTGGACTTACTGTCGATATCTTGTTCAATCATGTCCTCATCTTCTCTCAACATGTCCCTGACGTCCACATAGGCATATCCAACGTCCTCACACTCTAAATCCTGGCTCTCCTCCAGAGGCTCACTCACAACGGTGAAACGGATTCTGGGAAAGGCATTATGAGTCCATGTTAAAGCCAGAGTCCATCATTTGCAGCTATCCAAAACGTAACTGGCGTAATTATTGTTGAAAAACATACTTAGTTGAAAGATAGTAAGGGAAGTAAACTCCCTGTGAAATTATTCTTTCTGGCAAGCTGTCATTTTGAAGAAATCAACAAAAGGAGGCCTTTCCAACTTTGCGTCTTAAGAAGCACCATAGGAAATTCAAATTAGTAGTTTGTTTCGTTATTCGGCGAAGAGTGCGCAAACATTGGCATGGCACACACGCGCACGCGGTTGCTATAATTCGTCGGATCAGTGCGCGACATCGCGTAGCTGCAATCGGCTCAGTGAGAACGTGTCTCGGACGCTGAATTCAGGCCCAATTCAAAACATGATTCAGCAACTTTTGATTTGAAATTGAGATCCTAGAATGTTGTTTTTCTCGAAATGTACAGCTGAAGCTGAGCTGAAACTTCATCAGGTTAGTTGTTCAGCACCCTTCTTTAGATCTTGAGCACTTTTGTTGCTTCAAACGAACAAAATGCACAAATTACAAATGATGGACTATATCTTTAAATAGTTACATTAGCCCATCAACACCTGTACTGCATTGTGTTATATTGTATTTGTTTCCTGATGAACACATAAAACCGCACAGTGCAAGGGCAGTTGGGCTGTGACTTCTGTTGTATCAAAGTCGGGTGCCTGGCTTAACGAGTGGGCCGTAACGTTGTTCGTAACTAGGAACTTGACGAGCTTATCGTGGTGTGTTCACGGTGTGTGTGGTCAACCATTAATCAACCAACGCGCTGTCGACTCAGCGCTGTATGTGTGTATTGTGTACGTATTGTTGATGTACCCTAACGTGGCGCGGCCCCCAACGTGGCGCACTTTGATTTTTCGCCTGTAGCGCCTAGCTAGAGCAAAAGTTTTAACTGAAATTTCACAGAAAGTGAAATTTCATCAAGTTCTAAACACTCCTGTTCATAAATCGCGAGTTTATTTACCCGTAACAAAGTTAGAAGAAAAATTAATTTTGGCGTGATTTTCCGATTTTATTTTCAAGTGCGAAGTGAACCCTTTGAAAATGCCCCGAAAAATAAGAAAATAATTTTCTGACAAACATCTGGCTGGGTATGTAAGTAGAGATAATAATTATTTATCAGAATTTATCCAGTTTACAGAAATTCTTAAATGTTAATTTGGAATTTTCCAAGATTTATTCAAGTGCGCCACGTTAGGGAACACCCCGCCAATTTGTGCCCAATTTCCGGACACCACTGTTGTTGAATTTCGGATTAAATTTCATGAAACCGAAATTGTTCACAGAGGTTAAACAGCAAGCATTAATAAGGTAAAAGTACTAGTAAATACTGCATGAATTTGAGGTTTGTCAACAAAGAGGTTTGGCAACACTACACAAGGAAAGTCGGGTAAGCTTCGAAGTGCGCCACGTTAGGGAACACGACTATACATACATGTACAATCGTTTACAATGCACAGCGGTTTGTACAGTACAAATTGGGTTTGTTCGCACACGATATGTGCACGCTGCTGTACTGTCTACGAAGGGAATGAGATATGTCGCAACGTTGGCAGCATGTTTCTGTGGCCACCCCGGCCTCCCCCCCCCCCAACCAACCCGGGTGGATTATGAGAGGCATTTCATACTGTTCATACTTACTTTCCTTGCGTGGCATCATCTGGATGAAGCATGCTGACCAGATAGTCCCTCTGCAACTTGTTATTCTCAGCGTCGACATGAAACACTACAAATAAACAAACGACATCAGCAGCTACAGTCACAAAGTTACTGACGTCACAAAGTTACTGACTCACCAAGAGTTTGCCATGGAGAGTCTATTTTTCAAGTTTACGGTCGACAAAACATGGCCCATTTGAATGAGTGTCAGTAGACAACTTGAGCTAATTTGTTTTAGATTGGGCCATAGTGTAAACAACACCATATTGATAAAAAGAAAAAGAAAAGGGCAAACAGATACTCGAATCATACGCTTACGAAACTACTGACCGGAAAAACTAACAATTTCAAATGTCCCGCGCGGCAAATTAATTTGTCGACCATCTCCCACAATGCACTGGGAAAAATGAACTCTCCGTGTCAAACTCTTGGTGGCGCACTGCATTGTGACTGGCCCAAATTACCAATTTGCGATTGTTCATGACCACTGTTCAAATATGTAGCCATTTAACATAATAACATATGACCTGTAAATTAAAGATAAACGATTGTTATACAAAATACTCTTTTGGGAGAAAAACACACTGCGGTTTACCTTATAAACTACCAAAAACATTACTCCACCATCCTTAATTAAATGAAACACAAAAACTGACTATGTATACTTTTAGTCAAATTTTAGAGTATCGTCCCGAAGTGATCCCCAGTTGCCATTTCCCAGTTTTGCAGCATTTCTTATGTTGCTGGCATCAACACTCTGCGTCTGATCCTTGGCCCAAGGGAATGAAACTGGTTTATGGCTTGTAATTAATGACAAACAAAGACATTAAAAATTTGGAAGACCATCAACAATAGACTGGATAAATCAGTTGGTGGTTGGTAGAGCGCTTGTACGTGGTTCTGGAGGTCACTGGTTCAAATCCTTCTGAAGTCAATTTCTTTGTTTAAAGATGTACGCCCTTTCTAAATTGCTACTTTTTTGCACTAGCAATATGAAAAAATTCTTCTCTTTTGAATCGGACATCGACTAAAAAAAATCAGCCCATGTTTAGTTATTGAATTTTTTACTTTTGAATCATTAGCTGCCAGACAATAATTCCGTTCTCGTTGGGTAGGCTGGTTCCTGCCCCACAATCAGTATTGATAATGTACAGACCGGGAGCCAGTCTGCTCACAAAGCAGATCTGTTCGAGTCCAAGACAATTTTTTTTTTCCAGAGGGTCCAAGACATCAACAAAAAGGGGGAAAAAGGAGGTTTTTGGTAGAGCACTTGTACGTGGCTCTGAAGGTCATTGGTTCAAATCCTTCTCAAGTCAATGTCTTTGTTTAAAGATGCACACCTTTTCTAAATTGCTACTTTTTTGCACTAAAAATACAAAAGTTGTTCACTTTTGAATGAGACATTGACAGACCGAAACCAGTCTGCTCGCAAAGCAGATTTTTTTGGAGACGTCCAAAAAAAAGAGAAAAAGAGATTTTTAGTTGGAATGAAATGTACAAATTGAAAAAAAATGAAAAAAAGGCAATCAAATTTGTTACAGGGAGCACAGGGAATGCAACTTTAACTTAATATTGACAATGACTCATTTGAATCTAAAGCAAATAAAAGTAATGGTAGAGAATCTTACTTTTCTTAAAGTTGTAGACAAGGTTATGATAAGCCTTGGGTTTGGGCAGTGAGAATGGCGTCTCGGTCTCTTCCCCTGATAGGCCCAGGAAGTGATACTCGACGTATAGACGCTGCACGTTATCATCAGTGATGACTGGTGTGTCTGGTTCCAGACTCAGATGGAATATGGTCACCGATACCGTGTTGTCACCCTAGAAGGCAAATATATTGATAATAAATGTTAACAATAATTATTGGAATAAAAAAAGGTTGAAATCTCTGTGGCAGGCAACACTGGGAGATATGTACTTAAAGGTAATTATACAACATTTGCAAATATCAAAAAACAAAACTACAAAATTATTATGAAGTACCTTATTTGACTGTTAGTGAATAATATTCTCAAGCATCCTGTGAAATCATGGCACCTGGTGTGCTGTCATTTGCAAGAAAAGTGGAATTTTTGTATCAATTTTCAACGATGGTCGGCCTTGGAAGAAACCCGACTTTTTTCAAATACTGCCCCCAATTTACCAAATTTAGTTAGTCCACATTTTGTTTGCAATCGGTTACACATCCATCAACAGGTACAAACCAACTAGACTGGTTCCCTGACCTGACAATCCCCCGATGTCTATAAATAGGTCAATCCCTGGATGTCTATAAATTGCTCTGCTTTGTCTTAAGTAGGGTCAGGGAACCAGACTAAATGAACAATATTTTTGTGTTGGTTTTTCCAGCATCTAAAACTTTAAGCAGGTCATTGTAACAATATTTGCTACAAATACCAACCCCAAAATCCATTCATTTCTGAAACTCACAGCAAAAGCAAACGTTGTATATTTCCTTTAAGTATTTTTGTTTTTGATAGCATGGGCATGTCTGGTTCCATACTCAGATTAGATACAGTCACTGGTTACTGTGTTGTCATTCTCATGTTGACATTCGGTGTTGTCATTCTGGGTTGAAACCTCTCAATTATTTTAGAGTTTCACTGCTTCACAGTCTTCGTGGGACTCAGTATTTGAATGAGACGTGATGACTGGTTGACAACTGTGAGTTTCTACTCTCTTGATGGATTGGGAACCAGGGAAATGCACGTCAATACCATAAAATGCCTGGACGTCCATGCAATAATATAAAACGATATAGCATAGTAATCCGGTACTTCTCCGAAAGTATGCAATATGCTGATTTAATTGTATTACTTTGAAGCCTGATATAAATAATATTGTAATATCTTGAACTCACCGCAGCTACCGACATGGGTCTGTTCATGGCTGGAGACATGACCACTAACGCCTCGCTATCGCTGGACATCCCTTCATCATCATCGACCTCTCCTTCCATCATCTCCTGCCCAGCGTCCCCAGCCCCAACCTCCTCCTCTTCCTCATCTAGCTCCGCCTCCTCATCCTCCTCCCCCTCCCCCTCCCCCTCCCCCTCCCCATCCTCTTCATCCTCTTCCTCTATGGGTTCTGGGATGTCAACTTCTTCTGCAATGGAGTCCTCGTCATAGTCATCATCTATAGGAAAAGTTAATGAGACACTTTGGGCGATTCACAATGCAAGTGCGCCACCAAGAGTTTGCCACGGAGAGTTCATTTTCCCCAGTGCATTGTGGGAGATGGTCGACAAATTCGCAGTGCGGTACATTTGAAATTGTTAGTTTTTCCAGTCAGTAGTTTCGTAAGCGTTTGATTCGAGTATATGTTTCTTTTCTTTTTATCAATATGGTGGTTTTTTTTGGTAGGGTGGCAGTACGCCATGCCCCAATCTATAACAAATTAGCTCAAGTTGTCTACTGACACTCATTCAAATGGGCGACGTTTTGTCGACTATAAACTTTAAAAATGGACTCTCCATGGCAAACTCTTGGTGGCACACTGAATTGTGAATCGCCCAAATTTCATGGTTAATCATGTTACATCTGGAAGGGGTCTTCTGTCAACTCTGTGCTGTTATTCTATAAAGTCACAGCATTCAGGGTGGATTTTTCTCACAGAAGATCCCTTGAAATTAAGTGACAAAACTACAAAAAAAATTAACAGAATAAAGTTCGGTTGGTTTGGCAATAAGTGTTTTAATGGTAACTCATGTTACAAGAAACGGACATGGCAAAATGTTAATACCCTGCATTTGAAAGTTTCCTCATACTGTGCACTGATGGAAAAATCTGTTCAGTACCCTTACATCATTAGGGTGTAAGACAAATGCTACCATTTCAGTTATTAAAAAAATAATCAATCACAAAATCTCTAAAGGGATATATTTTGGTAACTCGCGTTACGATAACTTACGTTACAGTTTGTTTGCCCACCTTTGGTACGAGTCAAACAATAAAACTCTTGTCGCATAAAATATGACGCTATCTCTCTGTCTTAAAATTGGAGACTCACAATAACACTTGCATTTTGGCATATAAAAACAAGGTGCCATTACAATAACTACCTAAAATCCAAAATCTTATCTAAAAAAACAAACATTTTTTTGGACCAAAAAAATACACTTAAACGCATTCCATCTCAATGCCACATCATACAAATGAAAGATCTTGTTGTCTTCTTTAATATGATACCAAACCTTTCAACTGTTTTCATTGGTTGCTGAATTCCACATTTGTGACCTGTTCTGTCAAAAGCAGACGCTTCTGGGCAGAGGTTGAAATTGAGATAGGGCCAAAAAACGCTGAGGGGGTGATTTTTATCGATTTTCAAATTTTTGCATATTTGTAATCCTGAACATGTCTAAAATATATTATAAAAGTTTGAAACCCTAATTTGAACTCTACATACTATTTTTGATGATTTTGGTAAGGTATATCTGTTTTGTGACGTTCGTGGCCATTTTCTCTGTTTTCTACTTTTCGACACAATGAACTTCAAAATAGCATAACTCTGCCCAGGAATGACCGGTTGCAAAAATTAAACCACCTATTTACCCTTACTCTCTGAGGGTAGTTTACTGCATGTCAGTTGGTTATGCCAATGCCCTCCAGCTGCAGTTATTTGGCAGATAACAAGTCTTAACAGTGAAGGCTCCAATTGGCAGGAGTTGGAGGCCCTGGAGGGTGCCTGATACTGACCAGCTGGGGGCACTCACTTTGTTATCAGAGGACTCTCATTGTTCTCTGTGGCATGTATTGGAGTGCCTGTCCAGTTACCCTTGAAATGACATGGCAGATATTGGAGGGCCATGCAAAAAACATAGGAGATTTTCTTGAGGCACAATTGGCATGCATTGGAGGGTCAAGTAGGGTAAGGGTTAAAAGGAAAAAGAACATATGTTAACAATATGTAAAAATATCATTTTCGACCTTATGCCCAGAAAAATCTGATTTTGACAGAACAGGTCACATTTATTTTAGTCCTATAACACTTGGTTTGAAATTATTTCAACACATACATGTATTTAAGAAGTTGAACTTGATGCTAAGGCTTTACTCTTGGAGAAAATTGTGTTCTTAACAAAGACATCTTACCTCCAGTACCTGGAGCAGAGGTGTCTCCAAACATAGTGTCTTCAAACTGCTCCGTCTTGCCAATCTGTCAAGCAGAACAAAATGCATGTAATCGTGTACATTGTGTACTACAAACGTGATGCTTTCTGAAGCTCCCATCCTCACATGCAGAACAATAACTGTTTAGTCTCTTCATAACAGAAATCAAAAAGGTATTCTGTATGCTACTAAGTGAACTGTGGGTCTGCACCATAGAGCTATATTAAATTACTAGAGCGCTAACTCGATGTACAAAGTAATGCCTGATGGGTGCATCCATGTTTATGCACAAACCTATGGAAAACTCGAAATTTTGTACGGCTTTTGTAAGGCTATTTGCATGTCTGCGTTTGTATTCCATACCGGTGCGTCATCGAAGCCGATACGTCCAAAACCGAAACGCACGATCAGCAAATGATCGTTCCATTCTGCTCTACGTAAAAACAGCGCAACGTGTGCGCGTCCCTCCGCTGCAGATGCTTTTCGCCGTGACGTTTTTTGAACCGTCATGACGCGCTTAAGTTGTTTGCGTATCTTCTACTTGCGCGTTGCATTTAGAGTACACTTTTAAAATTCAATCCATCTATTTCGATTGTGTTCTACAAACACGCACATAAATTCGAAATGTCTGCGCTCAGTACGGCTTCAAAGCATCTCCGCACCCAAGAATGAGGAGTTAGCGCTCTAGTAATTTAATATAGCTCTATGGTCTGCACCCACGGCATATGCCAAGTTGCACTGCAAATAAAGGTAAAAGCACAGTGCACTCATAAGTACGGTTCCACTCAGAGTGTTGAAATTTGTTTTTTAAAAACTCAAACGCATTGCTCAACTCAAATGCATTGCTGCCGTACGCCTTGTGTTCATGTTGATCATCAACCGAATATTTAAATAGCTTTTTGCCAGTTTGAATATTCAAAAACAAAAAACCTTCGCACATAACACACACGACCGTGGTGTTATTTTTAGGTAATGTTGTGGCGCTTTATTGTCACGTGACCCTTGGTCGACGATATTTTTTGGGGTTGATGGCAGTTCATTGTTCACATCCTTAGCAGGTTAAAGCCCTTGCACAGTTATAAACACTTAAAAACACTCCAGCACCCCATACAATCACCGCAAGCAAATGTAAACTGGCACACTCTTCATGCAACTTCAGGGGTGTAAGTGACCACTTATAAAAATAGCTGAAAATAGCTGACAAAAGGTGTAAAGAAGCTGGACTTTGGAAATCTCCTATACTTTTGTACACAGCAAGTGAGGGAAAAAGCTGGAAAAAAAGCTAAAATCCAAAAAAAAAAAAAACCTTAAATCAGCTTTAAAGCTGAGATTTCACACCCCTGAACTTTTTATCGGCGCTGCAGGCAGTTGCAGCTGGCAGTTTTGAATAACCGCATATTCGGTCAAACGCAGTTTCGAGTATTCGAATACTAAATTATCTGGAAATGGACAGCTCTACTGCAATATGGTCTCCAGTCTAAGACTACGATCTAATTACTAAGCAATGGCTGGCAGTAAGGCCAAAAAAAAAAAAAAGTTGGTCTCTGGTCAGCGCGCGTGTCGATTTTAATCATGCGCGTCAATCTTTTTTTTTCTTCAAAATGTTCCGCGGTAGCTCCAACAGCGGCCTCTATTGCCGCACCTCCTCAAATTTTTTTACCAAAGAGCACCAAGGAATGGGAAATTGCACCAAGGCAAATGATCGAGGGCAAATTGCACCAAGGCAAATGATCGAGGGCACCAAGGCAAATTATGGAGGACACCAATGTACATGAGGACACCAAAAAAAGCACAATAGTACCCCACCTTGTCTGTACAATCCAAGCTTGAAAAAAAAAAAAAAAAGCCGCGTCGCCGCATCAATTCCGGAATTGGTCTGACCAGAGACCGAGTATTTTTTTTTTTGGCCTAATACACCTGTCTATAGAAAGAGGCTTGAGCAAACCACAGCCGCGCACTTTAGACCTAGCCTAACCTTTTCCTCATCTTGTCCAAACTCGTCTCTCATCTCCTGTGCCACCAGGTCGTTGACATCCTCAGCTGAATCCTCCACTTGCTCCTGGCCCCTGGACAGTCCTTCCAGCTCACGCTCTACGTCATCCAACACGGCATCTTCCTCACTGTCAAAGGGACTCTCCTGGACTGATGCCGGGGCCGGGGCTGGTCTGTCGCCCTCTAGAGTCTGCGTTACGCTCAAGGGGTTAGTCTGATCCTGTTCGGAGCAAACATGGAAAATCAGTGCTTAACATTACTGGGGTTTTCATAAGGTGTCAAGACATTGCCCAATCTGGTCCTGCAATTAAGAATGCATTTGAATACAACGAGGACTTAACCAACAAGGTCTATAAACTCAACCATTTTAGCCTCCACGAGTTTCAAACCTTACTACATGTTATAATAATAATAATATTAATAATTTGGGAGGCTAATCATCCTTACTCGCAGCTGGGATGCTGAATTGCAAAGGACGCGGCTACAACGTGGTCGGGCCGCTGGCACGTAAAGGCGCCTATGGCTGCCGGCCACATCGACCCATATATGACCACGGAGCACAGCCTGAGATCGAAAGTGTTTGATTTTTCCTTATTGCTGCTGAAACGAATGGAATCCTTGTATAAGAAGTGCTTCATGCAGACAATTTTCAGGTCACTAAACAGGCCATTAAATTAGGTTGTCTGGGACATTTTGGCATCATTTAATGACACGTTAACTCTTGGAGTACAGAACTGTCTAAATTAGATGGAATTAAAAGAATGCACTATGGTACTTGAGTTGATATATCCATCGGCATGCAGTCTTATCTCTGGCCAGTGCCAATGTGAGCCTGTATATCGCAAAGAGTGGAATTCCAGTGTAAATTTGACAAAACTATAGCTTCGTTTTAGTTAAATTATACAATGAAATGGTCAAGGTGTTTTTCCTTTTTAAATCTTAAAACTGATTTCTTTCGAAGATTTTTTTTTCTCCATGTATCACTTAATTGTTAACCTGTACTGATTATTCTCCCACCACTATGTACTTTTGTTTCACATATGTGACCTGTTCTGTCAAAATCAGACTTTTCTGGGCATAAGGTCAAAAATGAGATTTTTGCATATTGTTAAAATATGTTCTGTTTCCATTTAATAGGTGGTTTAATTTTTGAAACCGGTCATTCCTAGGCAGAGTTATGCTATTTTAAAGTTCATTGTGTCGAAAAGTAGAAAACAGAGAAAATGGCCACGAACGTCACAAAACAGTTATTTCTTTAACTGATATACCTTATCCAAACCATCAAAAATAGTATATGTAGAGTTCAAATTAGGGGTTCAAGCTTTTATAATATATTTTAGACATGTTTAGGATAACAACTATGCGAAAATTTGAAAATCGATAAAAATCACCCCCACAGTGTTTTTTGGCCCTATCTCAATTTCAACCTCTGCCCAGAAGCGTCTGCTTTTGACAGCATTCTACATATGCTCACCTCATGTGGAGGAGGTGTGACATCAATGACAGGATTTTTGAGGGATTCACTGGCCGTCTTCCTTGGTGTTGGCTCCTGTCACGGGAAAGACAAGACAACCATTTCAAACGGGCATTCCAGAGTCATACCAAAACCTATAAGTTTTAGGAGAGACTAAGGTCGACCCAGAGACATTTTGGTTTCAGACAGACAAACTCTATGAACTTATTTTCTTTTGACTAGACGCCGGAGTTGTTCTGAATGACTTCAACGGTCAATACTTCAATGTAGTCGCTCCTAACTGTTTCAAGTGTCAAATTATTTTTGTCCTGAAGTTAAACTCTGGGAATAGTTTAAGAGGAAAACTTAATTTTGTCGTGTCCGTGCAACAAGGTTGCATCTCCTAAAATGACGTGTGACTTCACGTTACGTGAAACACGAGTTTTCAATGTCAAAAGGTCGTATCTTGCTGAAAATAACCCGGATGTACACACGAAGTCAATGGACGTCGTGATACGCAAGATGCAACTTTGTTGCGCTGAGCGTATTCGCGCGAGATACGACTTTGTTGCAGAATCGAGTTACGGCTTTGTTGCACTGACGCGACGACTTTTAAAAAAAAATACTGCAAGTGAGACTTGCGCAATCCTGGCACGCTGGCAGGTTTAATAAGTAAGTTAATATGTATACTTATCAGTGTCCCTAACCAAAATGGAAGATTTCTACTGTTTTAGCAACAGTGACCTTGACGGAAGGAATACGCTATCGCAATATCCCCCTCTGGCTTACAGCCAGGGGGATATAAAATACTGATAATATTTTTCCAAGAATTAACAAAATAAAGAACTTGATGATGACACTTTTTTACTCTTTCATTTTGGATCGCATATGTTACTCTGTATAGTTAGATCTCATTTTCAGAACAACTTGTTTGGCATTTCACAAACAAAAGTCTAATTTCAGATTTCCATCTTTTTTTCTTGTGAGCCAAATTTACCAGAGGTTGTGATGATGTCCTTGGTCGAGGCAGGGGCCGTGTTCTCTCAACAACCTTCTCACTGGCAGCTGCATCGGCTGGCTGGGTACCAGACCGAGGCCTAGGCACTGATGGCGTGGATGCAGCCAGCGGCTTAGGCTGCTTGGATGGGGTGACGGCAGGAGCGGCTTGAGCAGAGACCGGTTTTATGGGCGGACGGTGTGCGATGATTGGTGCTTGCTTGGATGGAGTGGTTGGTGGTTTGGTAGGCTGAAAAAGTTGAGTTTTGTGAATGGATTTTCCCGCAAACTTCTTTTTAGCATGATTTTCTTGAAACACGAAACCTATGACCTGCTTTTATTTTTAACACTTAAAGTTGCATTCCCTGTGCTCTGCAACAAACTCAATGTTTTCTATGAATAAATTTTCAACAATTTTTTTTTCAACAGTTTTTCTTCATGTTTTGTGCAATGCCTCTCTGGCCATGGTTATGGCATGTGCCTCGCTTACGTAGTGCTAAAAATCTCCTTATATGGAAATTGGCATGCACGTAACGCGTGCTGCGCGTTGGGGCGCAGAACGCAGCGGTGCTTTACCGGCAGTTTGAAACCACTCACGTGACGGGCTCTCGACAAAAGGAATGAGTAAACTGTCTCAGCTATTTAAGAACATGAAATAAAGATGTTGGGGTTCCATGAATGTTCCCATGAAAAAGCCGGTAGACAGCAAATGTATTGGCTGTGCCTTTACATGAAAAGCGTGATCACTATACAGTGCTCCGTTAACGCATAATATACAAATATTGAATGCTTCGAGTGGTGTAGTTAAACTAGCCTCCCGAGGTTATCCATGGACATTCTACTTTCCCGTGGTGAAGCCGAGGGAAAATAGAATGCTCCATGGATCACCGAAGGAGGCTAGTTTTACTTCACCACGAGATAAAGCATTCAATATTTGTTTTATAACGCTTCACCCACAGATTCTGCTTGGTTTTAATATTTTAAATTACTTAAATCTGAACACAGTTGAAATAAACTTCAATTTCAATACAAAATTGGTGGAAAATGTATTTCTCTCTTCCAAACTACCCCTTCACGAAATGTTTGAACCCAACTCTATGGCGCACTCTCTTTGGAACAACATGCGCTACGCGCAAACCAGCATGCATTTGCACACAAATACCGCACCGTGGATATAGTACTTTGGTTGCTAATGGTATAGTACTTTGGTTGCTACGGGTATAGTACTTTTGGCCGTGTACAGAAAAATAGCAAAAATAGAAAGTATCATGTGACTCGCTCTCGGCCAATCAAGACACAGAATCTGTGGGTGAGGTGTTATAACTGCATGCGGTCAACTAGCAAAACTGTACTTCTTTTTGGCAACTCTATTTTTTGCATTATTTTTCACTCATGACTTAATTTAGAATTTTTGTGTGTGAATATTGACCAGTCTATTTGGCTTCAAAATGCAATTGTGTTTGCGTGGCATTACACATAAACACTGTGAATAACTGCATTTCAATATAATCATGATATCAACTGCGAAGTTGATAACGTTAAATTTGAGGGGAAATATGCTTGGTGGCACATAAACACTGTGAATAACTGAATTTCAATATAGTCAGGATTTCAACTGCAAAGTTGATAAAGTATGTCAACTGCAAAGTTGATAAAGTTAAATTTGAGGGGAAATATACTTGATTGCAGAGCGCTGTGCTGTCAATTCGGGCATTTCACAATGCAATGCGCCACCAAGAGTTTGCCACGGAGGGTCCATTATTTTTCAAGTTTATGGTCGACAAAACACAGCCCATTTGAACATGTAGTACACAACTTTAGCTATAAATTGTTATAGATTTGGGCATAATACGTTCTGCTGCCTTACAAAAAACACCATATTGATAAAAGGAAAAGAAAAGGGCAAACAGATACTCGAATCATACGCTTACAAAACTACTGACCGGACAAACTAACAATTTCAAATAGCCTGCGCTGCGAATTTGTCGACCATCTCCCACAATGCCCTGGGAAAAATTAACTCTCTGTGGCAATCTCTTGGTGGCAAACTGCATTATGAAATGCCTGAATTGCTTGTTTTTTACCTTGGATTACTGTAGGCAGGTCTTTGCTTACCTTAGGTTTGCCTGATGTTAACTTAGGTGCAAAGTACGTAGAGTGCCACTTCAGTACCATATCGACAGTCCCATTCACTTTACCATCACTCTGTGGAGGATAGGCAATGTACAATAATTTGGAGAAAGAACAAAAATGAAAAGAAGCAAATTAGTTCATACTTTGGACCACAGCTCCATTTCATGGCACAGTCAACCAAGAAATTCTGTAAACACAATTCTCTGTTTATAACATAACCAGTATTAACCACTATCTCGGTAACATTTCACCAGTCAAACAATGCAAGTGTGAACAAAGGAAATATATAGCCATTGGAATTTTAACCAGTGTCTCAGTAAAAATTCCCACACACATGCACATGTTTGTTTTACATACGCTATGTGGACATTCCTTTGTTTTCGTGTAGTTAAGAAAACTCAACTTAACTTTACTTTAACTATGAAAACTCTTTCAACGCAATTTTTTAAACCTAACCCAAAAATGCCTCTAAAACTCTTTTTCAGAGAGGGCGAAACGTTATGTGGACACGGCTTTATAGTCCACATAACGTCAACACAACCTGCATTATGTGGACATCTTTTGTTCACATGTCCACATAGTGACTGTAAGACAAACTCGCAAAAAGTAGCCCAGTGCGTACACAGCTGTACACTGGGATCTGGAAAACTTAGGGTTAAGGAAACAAGAGGAAGTAAAACATGGGATAATTGAAGGAACTCTGGGTTATGTAAAGCTAAACCTTGGAGAGAAACTTCCCAGGTTCAGCAGACAACCACACAGACTGACCTGTTTGAGCTCAAACGTTCCCCTGATGGCCTTGTCATGAGCCAGGCTGATCAATGGGATCTTAGCCACTCCAATGTAAGCCATGTCCTCAGGGTCTGTATCATCAAAGACATACACACCCAATGTCTGAAATTAAAAACACAAACACGGGATTAGAGCAAAGTGACATTTTGCTGCCTATAGCATTAGGTTCTTCAACCATTGATCTGATACACCGTGCCCTCTGGAGGCGTGCACACAATAGGGAACAAAAGATTGTATACGTCTCCACAGGGCAATTTCTATAGATGAATACGTCTCCACAAGGTTTTCACGAAATAGATATATGGATTTTACTCAAAAACTAGGAATTTCCAAGGTGGCTTGATCTGTCGCAAATGAAAGAGTTGTAGAAAAGGGATATTAAGTCCGAATTTCAGCTAAGGAAATTAATTCTGGTTAAAATAAGAGCATTTTGAAACTTCACTTTCAAACTCAAAAACTTTACTACGCAAGAACAAAGAAATGTCTCCCTAAGGATACAAATTTCATTATGCATGCACACAAGTTCCAAAAAAACTGTGTGTCATTTTCTAAATCTTGACCATATTTGTCCAAATGCAGATGACTAAGGTCAGTCAATTTTTGTAATATGCAAATGCATTCTAAGTTAAATAGTGATAAGGAAATATAACACTCTGTATGGGACATCAAAAACTGACTGCATTATTTCAATTATCCCAAGCAGATTTAGTGCCTAATGGCACCCTGACGCATACATAGAGTGAATAAAGTGTACATACCAATTCTTGCATATGTCATGTATGTATTTGAAGGCAGTGGGCCACCCAGCATTTGGCTTTGGGGGGGGGTTCACAATTTTTTGTTCAATTTTTTGTTCAGAAATTTGAATTTAAAAAAAAAAATGTTGCCCAAAATTTTTGGCCACAGCAAAAAAATTGGGGTTTTTTTTTAAATTTTTTTTGGAGATTGGACTATTTTGTCGTTGGTGGCGCCATTTACACCCCTATTATACTACTCGATATAGGCCACTTACATATCACCACGGTCGAAAAAATTGACTAAAAAAAAAAAAAAAAAAAAAAAAATTGACAACCTCTTGGGGGGCTCAAGCCCCCCCCGAGCAACCCCCCCCCCCTTTGGGTGCGCCACTGCTTGAAGGTACTTAATTGGACATGTGGGGAACACAAATGAGATTATAATAATTGAAATCAAGACTGAAACATTTTTTTTACCGTCAGATTTTGTGTTTTCAATCTGAGGAACAAGTCAACTTTTTTTTCTAAAATATTGACAGCGATTTTTGTATGTTTTCCTTTGCAAGTTCTTGTTCATTCATCAAAGTGGGAAAACATCCATGTTTATTGTACTCAATGGGTATTCATCAGTTCATAGAACGGCAAATGATCAGTGGTGGACGGCCGAGTTTTGTGATCTTTTTATTGAAATAGACAAAACTTGGGAATAGAGTATGCAAATCACGTGAAGTTTTCACTTTTACAGTTCAACAAGATGTACTTTATGCCTGTTTTTCTTTAGCAAGCCAAATATTTTTAAAATGTTTTTCAAATTTGGTCACTTTCTTTTTGACTCACTCTGTACAATAGCCGACTATTGTTTGGTCATTGTTTGGAAATTGATAAATAATGTTTGACTTGGCAGCTGAAAGTTGGTCAGTTTTAACGTTCTCAGTTTTAAAACAAACAAAAAGGAGGAGACTTCGGAAAAGAATGGGAAGAAAGGTATCCCACGAACACAGTTGAAACTTACGTCGTTTTTCAAGTACTGATCCAGCTCAGCTGTCATGACGACAGGGTAGACGTTGGCATCGTTGAACTCAGGGGAGTTACTGCTGGTTACAATAGTGGTGTCGTGATCGTTGAAATCAAAGAAACGATAGACGGCGTAGGGGTTAGGCTGTACGCCTGGTTTGGAAAATGGGAAACAATAGTGGAACAATACTTTTGTCATAAGGGTGTTTTTTGTGGGGGTTAGGGGTAGAGGGTTCACGCATAATGTGTGGATTATTTATCAAATTTATAGCACTGTCAGGCACAGGCTCTTCTGCAAGCCCGTAATTTATTGATTCAAGGCCATTTTAGACCGCAAAATTTGTAAAAAACGAGGCACTGAGCAAGGAAACCATATTTGGCAAAGAACACTTACAAAGGCTAAAGTTCACCCACAAAATGATTTTAATATTCAAATCCATTCTTAACAATTTGGGCAATTCACAATGCAGTGCGCCACCAAAAGTTTGCCACGGAGAGTTCATTTTTCCCAGTTTGCACTGCGGGACATTTGAAATTGTTAGTTTTTCCGGTCAGTAGTTTCGTAAGCGTATGATTCGAGTATATGTTTGCCCTTTTCTTTTCTTTTTACCTTATCAATATGGTGTTTTTTGTAAGGCGACAGAACGCTAAGCCCCAATCTATAACAAATCAGCTCAAGTTGTCTACTGACACTCATTCCAATGGGCTGTTTTTTGTCGACTTTTAAGTTGAAAACTTGACTCTCCATGGCAAAGTCTTGGTGGCGCACTGCATTGTGATCACCCGAAGTCAATATTGTTTCCACAGTCCATCACTTTTTTTTTTTTACTTGAACCACATTTGGCCCAAATTTCTGAAATTTAAATTTGAAATGCATTCAAAATATTTTTGATTCTAAATGAAATTGTCCTTTCTGGTCTCTATCAAAAAGTCTCGGTCTCAGACATAAATGAATGTGAATTTCAGAACAATCCTATTTTGTTTGTTTTTCAACCCGTTTTTCTGTACTGCTCTAAACCACTCAACCTGTGCTCAAATTTGTATCCATGTGGAGACATTTCCACAATAGGGAACAAAAGTTTGTATACGTCTCCACAGGGCAATTTCTATAGATGAATACGTCTCCACAAGGTTTTCACGAAATTGATTTTACTCAAAAACTTGGAATTTCCAAGGTGGGTTGATCTGTCGCAAGTGGAAGAGTCTTAGAAAAGGGATATTAAGTCCGAATTTCAGCCAAGGAAATTAATTCTGGTTAAAATAAGAGCATTTTGAAACTTCTTTTTCAAACTCGAAAACTTTACTACACGAGAACAACGAAATGTCTCTACAAGGATACAAATTTGAGTGTGTGTGTTCTGAATGGTTTATGGATTCTTCAACTCACATCAATGAGTGCTAACAGGTTGGGAAAGGCATGAATTTGTTTTTCAAAAAACAAAGGGCGAAGAGATTAAAACCTGAACGAAAGACATATTACTGCAATACTGGTGAAACAGAGAGGGTTTTCAGCATTACATGGTACTCCATACCCACTCACCAAAGCTCCAGTGGAAACACCGCATGTGCCCTCTGTTGTGAATGCATATACTGTTCGAGGCACACACAACCGATTTTGCTAAAATGTGCACAAGCCAACTTTATCTCCACATTGGTGCCAGAGCTTATTATTTTCCATTGCGAGGGTAACTCATGCACAGAGTTCGTAACAGCTTGTAATAGACCATTATTATGTTGCGGCCATCTTGATTTTTTCCCCATTCAAATCAACGTAACCAAAGCAAGGCTGGATGGAAAAATAGTCTGGTTCCTTTTTGCACAAAAACATGATCATTCAGTCTTGTTATTGGATACAGGGAACATGACTGAAATGGTGGCAGCATGATAAAGGTCTAAAAGATGAGCACTGGAATTCTAAATCTGTCATACCATAATGACCTCATGTGCCGTATCTTCCGCCGTTACCTACCTTCCCTCCGTGGCTTCAGGCCGGCGCATCGCACCACCTTGACAGTCAGCTCGTTCAAGTTGTCCCTCTGCTGCCCTCTAGTGTCTTCCCTGCCTTCGGTCTGGTCCAGGGTTGCTATGGCCTGATTGGCCGTCCTGGTGTTGGACATGATGTAGCCCATGGCTTTGACTCTTTCCTGTCATTGAAAACAACCATCCAATGAACCTCAAAGTAACTGACTGGGTTAAGAGAATAACAGTGTGAGGAGCCGGTCTTCACTGCGTGATAATGACCGGGTTTGGGGGTGACCGCTGTTAATGGACCGAGACGAAGTCGAGGCCCATTAACAGCGGTCACCCCCACACCCGGTCATTATCACGCAGTGAAGACCGGCTCCTCACACTGTTATTCCCATTAATAAATACCTTTTTAACGAAATAAACAGTTAAAATGCTCCAATTTTGTGACTTTTTTTCCGGCGATATTTCCAGACTTTTTTGTGTTCATGTTCATGGGCCATATTTTAGCTTATGCGTGGTACCCTGTCTCTTCAATAAGCGTTGTTATGTACACCACAGCCGGGCCCAGGCTGCGCTGGACAATTGCAACGTCTTCATTGCGTACGCGTACGATTTCTGGTCGTTTCAAAACTTCCTTACGCGCGCACACCCATAGCAACTGTTTTGCGTACGCGCGCGTCAGTCTCACGCGAAGGTGGTTGAGCGCATGTGCAGTGCTGTATTGTTACAAGCTGCCGTATGACTGTTGTAAATTTGGCCAATCATTGCCTTCCATGGGGCTGGATCAATGCTGGTTCAGGGGCCATTTTTTTCGCTTGTTCTTTGAAGCCGGTCATTATCACCGTTAATGCCCGGCCACGTGATCGAGTCTCGACCAATCAGAAACCATCAACTCTCCAAGGTATTTATTAATCACTTTTAATAAACACAAGTCGGTTCTTGAACTGCGCGTCTCGCCTGCTTTCAGGATTATCTGTAAAGATGACCTTTGACCTTGGTGTGTGTGTGGCGTTTGACATCATTATCATGTGAAGGTTGCCATGTTGCATCTATGACCCAAGTTTGGTTCAAATTGAACTTCAAATTTTGAAATGAGACCAATTTTACATGTTCAGCCTTTTTTACAACTTGACCTCAGATGACCTTTGACCTTGGTATGTGACCTTTGACATCATTATCATATGAAGGTTCCCATGTTGCATCTATGTTTCAAGTTTGGTTCCAATTGGAATACAACATTTGAAATGAGACAAATTCTACTAAACTTTGACCAAAATACCACATATATACTACAGTTTACGTACATAGTCTCTTTCCTGTACAAAGTCCATGCGAGACAAAAAGGCTGCCTCAGACTGTTCTAGAGCTAATGTCTAGGTCTTTGTCGATTCCAACTACATGGTCACATGCTGACAATACATGTCTTTCCGACACCACCTAAGATTTCCATGGACATGAAAAAACACGGGACAAGAACTAAAAGAAGACTCACTCTGAATAGTCTGAGTGCTTGATCCATGGGGACACGGAGACGAACCCAAAACTCAATGGTGCCAAAGTTGACCCCAGCACGCTCAAGGCCTGAAGTAAATAATATGTACAAAGTCAGTATGGAAACTAAAAAGATGGAAAATACAATTACCTATTCAATGCAACACCTATTGTAAAATGTACAAGAATGGACACGTATACAGATCATGTACAAGAACAGTAGGGACACTTAAAAAATGACTTAAGGAAGCACTGAAATTGAAGGGGGGGAAAAAGGTACAACTATTAATTGCTGTTCAATTCAGTAACATACCACACAATCATTTTACGCACTACCATACATACACTAGTGTTATGAAAAGTTTGAAAATCAGGCATGGCGCGTCATTCAATTCTTCCGTTCGGAAGAAAATTGGCCGCTTTAAGTCTGGTTCATACTTCACGCCAAAGCATGTGCGAAGCAAAATTCATGTCGTCAACAATGGTGGACGTGCTTCGAACATATTGTTGACGTCACAAATTTCCTTTCGTTTTTGCGTGAAGTATGAACCAGGCTTTAGACAACAAAATGTCAAGAAAGGAGAGGGCTATTTTTAGAATCTACTTTCTGTATGAATGTTTAGAAAATGTGTGAAGTGAACATTTACACATTGATTACCATAGGCGGTACGTTTTGACTGTGTGCCACTTTTAAATAGACTTTTATGCTATCATGCGGGCCTCTATGAATGCTTAACCCTAACCGCCCTGAATCCTTCAAAATCCTCTTTGCCAAAGTGGAGGAATTTGAAGGATTGAGGTTACATGGAAAAAGTGTGTTACTGATTTCGTAGGATGCACTTTGTCAAGGTCTTAGGCCGGACCTTGTGTTGTTTTTGCTCAGCCATGCATAAATATAGGCCTGGATTATGCTTGAAATCATTCATACTGCTCAAGGATGTCACTGGCCAAGCCTCAACATATTGACAGTCACTGCTACAGGATTTTGCAGGATTCAGGCAGTGGTCACCCCTCCACAGACCATATTCAAGAAATAATGGAGGAATTTGCAGGATTGAGGTTATATGCTATTTTTCCATTAGGCCTATTGGAGGATATTGCAGGATTGAGGCTACATCCTAGCAAAAAGGCCTAGGGAGTTAGGGTTAAGTGAGTTTACAATATGTTGTAGAATTTAAATACAGGAATTCATATGGCCACACAATTTACAAAAGAACAATTGCCCAGACCTGTATTAATAACATAATATTTTTTTTATAACAACTCATCCACAGATTCTGTAAAGCTGCATGTACCGAGCTCACTGTACACAAATCTTGTATCTCACCGATGTGGTAGTATTATCATGTAGAACTTTATGAACAATCTGTATAGCAAGATTTAAATTTTCGGGTTGGGTTTCTTTAATGTTTTTTTTTTTTAATCGGGTACCCAATTCTCACATAACCCGTAAATGCACATCCGTAAGTAAAGTTACTGAATTTCCCAAAAAGAGTATTTCTATTGTTTGCACAAAAACAGGTCAATTCCAGTCGCAAGTAGTGTAAAGTAAGCAGTGCCAACCCAGACACAAAAACTCAGCAACACACGACATACGCCACCGCCTACCTAGCAGCTGTTCCGTGCCGTGCAGCCGCCCCTGGGGCTTATCCAGCAGGTCACGGAATCGCAGCTGACACGCTGCGATGGTGCGGTACTCCGTGCCGATGGCCTGGTGCACCTCCAAGGTCGTTGAGCCCTTCATGAGATGCTGCAGGAAGAAGTCGTCCACCGTCACCTTGTACTGGGAGGTGAAGTCAAACTGAGGCCTGCAATGATATCAAAAGGAATTTTGTTTTCCAGGATGATTGTCTTTGATGGAAAAGTGTGTGTTGATCTGTAAAACCAGACATCTGCCTCCACATGAGTTTTGGTAGCTGCAGGCAAGTTTGCATTCAAACTGACGAACTGATTTTTCCAAAAGGTTTCAGGTTGACCCTATAAGTACCTCAGCCAAGGAGGTTATGTTTTCATCGGAATTGGTTCGTTTGCTGGTTGGTTTGTCTGTTAACAAGATAATTCAAAAAAGGTATGCACGGATTTTCATGAAAATAGTTTTAAGAGGTGGTCCTTGGTACAAGTACAAATCTATTAGATTTTGGAAGTGATCCAGATCTGGGTCTGGATGTAGGATATTTTTCTAAGGATTCTTCACCATTGGGAGATAGGGCCAGATTCCACAATTTTGCTTGTAGCTCAACATTAACCCCCTAGCGGAAAGCGGCCAACATCGCTATTTTTCGATAAATTCAGAATATGAGCAATCCTGTTGACATTTTAAATGTGCAATAAAATATGGAAGTCCAGTGGATATGCGAGTATTTCTTGTGGGTGTACTGACAATATGGTAGGGAATTGTTCAGCCTTGGCGGAGGTTTGCACTCTCTGAGAGCTTTGTAGTTGCCTATGCGTTTTACCCAAGCTGCCCAAGCTCCCTTTTCTGAAGATGAGTTAACCATTTTTGCAAAATCAAAAAGAGGCTGCATTAGTACGTTTTCCTTGTGGCTTATTAAAAACATTGCATGACATGCCATACAAACTAATTGCGACAAAGTTGCGTTTGTGTAAACAGGCTTGAAGGTTCTGATACGGTGGTTGACTTTTGAGGGTAAAGAAAAGATCAAAACATATGCCTGAAGGCTGAGGGTTGAAAATCTTACCTATCTCCCTTGAGTATGGGCGTTGATTGGAGCTCAAACTCAAAGAATGCATAGGTCACAAACGTGGACGGGTTTTCATCTCCGAGAGCTTTTAGACCTTCTCTGCTATATACAAGCTGTGAAATAACAAAAAACAATGTCAATTTCATCGACTGTGTAAATGGTCAATGAAGTATATGATCTTCCAGTTGTAAATGAAAAATAGCAATTTGTGAATTCTTTGTGTTGACTCATTGGCGGTACTCAGTCAGCACTGCAAAAGTGTTTAGGCTTGATTCCTGCTGAACAATCCTATTTTTCAGCACACATTATACACTTGTTGCCGTCTGTGACAAGGTCCGTGGTGTTTAGCCGAGGGTGCCTTTTGCCCCCAACTTATAGATTACAACTGTCCAATTCTGTCACTGGTAACGTCTTAAACTGTGGGTCTCTTCCTGTTGCGGTGCAGAATTGGCAAACTGTCGCACAGAATTTTCCATATTTTTCTTCGGGTTGATGCTATTCTGTTCAAAAATCGAATTTCTGATCTCGTCTTTGGAACAAGAGAGAAAGCTCTTGTTTGGAGGCGACCTGTTGTCATCTGCCGACATTATTACGGGGAAATTTCTGGGAAATAGGCACAGTTAACAAAGCAGACAAACAGTGACGAATGATGTTAACAACAATTGTGGTCGTAGCAGAAATAGTGCTTCACTGTCCACCATGGCACATCTTACAGGAACATACATCAATTTAGGTAGTACCAGCGTAGCTACAACCTCGTACCCAAGGTCACACTAATATAATACAACGCGGTGGAAACGACACTTTCAACAGCGGGAAAGATCAAGGTAATGTAGCCTGTGGGGTACATCACTCATGCACCACGGCGTACATCGCTCATGCGTTTTGTGGCATGTCACGTGATCCACTCTCGACCAATACAAAATCACAATCTATCACCGTGGTATAACAATTGTATTTGGCGTCTCGGTAACACTGTTCCACAGCCTTGGGTACAGACCGACTCAAACAAAAATATATGTGCAAGGTAATTATAAACAATGCATACAATATAGAAATACATATTTTCAAATAACAGTTGGGGTAATTCTTTATTTTCTGCCTGTCATTCTTTTATGGTCAGAGAAAAGCTTGACTCACCCTTGTAACATGAAGCTCTAGTAGATTCTGGCCACGTTCTAGCTTGATTGTTTCATCAATCTCCTCATAATCATCGTCCTTTTCAAAAATTATTAAAAAAAAAAATACAACCAAAAAAATGATACATATAATCTCTGGTTTCATAACCTGTATATATTTTTCATACTGGACGATAAATTATAATGAAACTTAAACCATTGCTTCTTGTACCATCCCAAACTGCCCTGCCTGTTACTTGCTATACCACCCAACAGCTGCAGCACTGTCTGTTTTTTTTATTCAAGGAAGAAATACAATGTAATACAATGTAATACAATGTAATACAAGTGCTAATGGTTTAAAGGGTGACTCACATCTGCTATGTCTGTGACCTTGTACTGTTTGGTTCCATAGGCAACATCTCTCAACTGACGCTCCAATTTCTGCAATAACAAAAAGAGAAGGAATATTTCAAAGTCAATGTCACAAGTGAGATTTTAAAACATACAAACACATTAGGCCTGGGCAAGTAGTTGATTTTTCTACTCGAGTACTTGCAAAAAAATTACTTGGTAATTTGGACGAATGGAATCCTAGGGGAGAGAGAGGTGGAGGGAGTGATTCCCTGTTTGCAGGGGACGTATTTAGCAGTGAACCTTAAACCCCAAATTCTAAATTGCTACTCCCGAGTACCTGCTTCTACTCGCGTCAGGACGAGTACTCGCTTCTACTCGCGTCAGGACGAGTACTCGAGTAGATTAAAAACCACGAGCAGAACGAGTAGCATAAACTACCCGCGAGTACTTGAGGAATCAAGTTACTCGCCCAGCGATTAATACAGATGATGACTTTAAACGAACGCTTTTTACACACTGGAACGGATGAGTGCAGAGCTGTGACTGTTTCTGTTTCTGTAAACCTTTAACTTCACCTCACCTTACAATTTCTGGAGGCAAAATTACATGATTAGTTCAATAAAAAAATAAAATCTACTCGTAGTCTGGATGCCTTACTTTGATTCTTGCAGCTCTGATATCCAGCAACTGGGCGTATTCCTCCAGCTTGGTCTCATACTCTTGCTTGTAATCCTCAAGCCTAGTGGTAGCCCCCTCTACCTCAATCTAAAAGAGAAAGAAATTTGGCATGATATAAAATTAAGAATTAACGTATGAAGGTAGTAGACTGGCGTGCAACTGGGAATTTAGATAAAACGAGGAAATTCCAAACCACACAAGACTTTGAACAGCGTTTTTCAATTTGTAATGGCATTCATGAGAAGTAAAAAATAAGGAAATCAGCGGATCCGAGGAAAAGTTGCATGCCCGAATATATATATTTTCAGATACATTTTTTTGATCAATTCAAATCATTTTCTGAATGATTGATTTATAAATATTCATAATACGGAAGCAAACTCAAGTAAACACTAAATCTTGATTTGAGTGTTTCCTTGAGTTTACTCAACGTGTTTCTACCAAACACAAATTTTTATCAGCTTTTATGACAGTTTATTACAACCATCACTCAATTCAATTTCATTTTGGAAGTGGTTATAAGCAGACCCCTTCAAGGAAGTATCACATCTCAAAAGACTTTTTCAATCATTGCTTAGCTAAGATCTTTTTGGCATTTGGTTTTTGTGCGGCAGGGCAACAAATGGTTGATAAAAAGATAACAAATCTATCTTCCACTTTTTGCCTTGCATTAAAATTTGAAAGTTTTGTCTAAATGTATCAAAATTAAACTTATTTAAAATTAAAATTATGACTTATTTCAGTGGGGTCCCTTGGTAGAAAATGTGGGAGGAATTACAGTTTTAGTGGTGGGACGCATCCCCAGAAAGATATTCTGGAAAAACACAGAATCAGGCAGGGACTGAAAACCAAATCCACATATTGGCTCAGGCGGGATTCAAACCCGGGTCACAGCGGTGGAAGGCGAGGAAAGTACCGCTACGCCAACCAGATCCCTCAGTCTAGTCATTGTTGCATCTTTACCTGATAGTCCCTGTTGATCTTATGCTGCAGGATGAGCATATTCCTGGTCTTCTCTAGCTCACTGACTGTCTCCGCATGCTCCGCTTGCAAGGATACCACCTGAGCCTTCAAGTCTGAAATAGAGACAATGACAGAAAAGAATTATGGTCTCAGTGTATGAGTAATAGATGGTGCTTCATCGCAACTAACATGAGCCTATTACTCCCTGTAGTGCCTAAAACTGCCCCAGCAATCTATGGTTTTAATGGATTCATCAATGAATAACCAAAATGTCACACTATGATGTAGAGGCACTAAATGCATTTGCATCTGAGGCAACGTACCTGGAAAAGAAGAAATTCCAGTTCTGTGAAATTACTCGCTGACATCTTCAGTTTTAGATCATTTCATAAACGTTTGCGTGACATAATTCGCGTTGTTGTGCTAAGTAGACTAGCTGGCTCACGGTCCTTATACCTGGTCCTTATACTGTTCCGGTTATCATCTTTATGTTGCGGAGCTAGTCTACACAACTGCTTTACAACAACTTGGATACCAAAAACTTGCAGTCACATCGAGGACATTTTTTTTCCAAAAAGAACTTTGTTCATGCGCTCTCAGTCACCATTGATGTTACAGAAGAAAACAATTTTTTTTTTGGGGTGACGCAGACTCTCCGGGACGCAGATGTAGGCAGGGTTATGCGAGTCAGTGAGAGAGCCCTAGGGCCCCGTGCACAAGTACCCCATTAACGGCCAGAAAAGGAGAGTTGGGGGTGACCTAGACTGGTTCCCGATCCATCCACTGCGTATTTGGAATGTATCCAAAGTTATCGGGGGTAGGGATTAGTCTCGGAGACCATCGCAAGTTGAATTCTAACGTATTCGGATGCCTGGCGCTCAAACGAAGACGCGGTGGCTATAACTTTTGCACATTCAGGAAGTCTGGAGTACTTCGCGCACGAACAGTACAGTGTGCGCACACCGTGTGTCCTGTCCACGGAGCTCTCAAAAGAGGTAAAAATGCGTCCTCTTTTGTTGGCGCACGGAGCCCATAGATCATGTTGCCAACCACTGTTCAGTAAACAAAAGAAGAGTCTGTCTAGTTACAAATAAAATATGACCTGTTGTATGTACACTGACTAATGAGGGGGTATTACTGCATGAAGACCACAGGGTCATATATGAACACATCATTACAACATCTTTGGCTTCAGGATTCTGACCTTTGTTCATCTCTTCGTCCACCTTCTCCAGAAACTCCAGATCCTGACTGCCTTTTTCTTTCCTTTTCTAAAAAAGATGAAGTTTTTCAATAAATAAAACAAAGAAATTGAACATTTGTTGGGAAGAAAACTTTTTTTTTATTGAAGACCAAAAGGAGAGCATGGTTAATATCCGTTAGGCACAGAGCAAAAGGAACAGAAGAAATTGAACATGACACATGATTGAAAGGGAAAATACAACATTTGCAAACATCAAAAAACGAGATGATCAAATTATCACGAAATACCTTACTGGATTGTTAGGGAATGACAGTCTGAAACATCCTGTAAAATCCTGGCACCTGGTGTGCTGACATTTTCAAGAAAAACTTTATTTTTCCAACGCTGGTCAGCCGACCAGCGTTGGAGAAAACTGGCTTTTTTTCAAAAACTAACTTTTCTTTGCAATTGATCACACACCTGTGAAGGGGTACAAGCTTGCTAGACTGATTCTCTGACCTTACAATTCCCCAAAGTGTATTAATTGCTTTGTTTCATCTTAAGTGGGGTCAGGGAACTAGACTACAAGTACATGATAGGTTTTCTTGGTTTTTCCAGCATCTACAAGCCCAAAACATGAAACAAGTCCGTTTTAACAATATTTCATATAACATACTAATCCTCCAAATCCATTTATTTCTGAAAATTGCAGCAAAAGCAAATGTTGTACATTCCCTTTAATAGAAACTTGATGAGCATCACTTCACAGGTTTTACATCTTTAGCCAGTCACTCTGGACTCTTTCCCCCTACCTTGACAATGATGAGAGCCTCTTCTAGTTCTTGGAAGTCCACAGCGCTCTCCCTGGTGAAGAATTTCATCTTCTCCTGAAGCTCATCCAGCTGCTGCCTCACCTGGTAGTAGCTGATCTGCAGCTGTTGGTTCTCCTTGGACAACTTCTCATATTGCTCTGACATCAGAAGAAACAAATGATGATTGCCAAATGAAGAATATAAAAGTAAAGTCTGTCACGAGCCAACATGGCCCATCAGGCCAGCGTTTATCTCCGGTTTCAGGGGCATAAAACGACTGAGAATATTTCTATTCCCCATGGATCGGATGCCCTTGGTAACCTGGGGAGTAACCCCCTGTACCCATTTATACTCCTGGGTGGAGAGAGGTTGGGGTAAAGTGGCATGCCCAAGGACACAATTTATGGCCAGCAGCTGGATTCGAACCCTTGACCCTCTGGTCATGTGTCTCGAATGAATCCTTAACCACTAGACCACTATCCTCATCCAAATAAAGTATATGTGACTGGATCCCACGAAATATGGTCTTAAGAACAATTTTTCAATTATTACTTTTCACATGAAGTAGGAAGGATATAATTTGCTCTTCATTTTGATAAATCTCTAAGATATCATGTTGGTGAAAAGGTTGATCGCTCCAATTGATTTCTTTGTAATTTCTATAAAAAGGCCCATTACAAAAAAGAAGCTCTGGTGGCTTAGGCCACAAAAAAAAAGTCTCCGGTTTCTGGTATGCGCGCGCGTCGCCGTAGCCATGCGCGTCGGCAAAATGAAAAAGTTTTTTTTTCAATGAAAGATGATGTCTCAAAACCGCCAACCTCACTGGTTTGACTGGAATCCTGCTGCTGCACAATTTTAACGTGTTTTTAGATTGGGTTATGGTCGAGAATAAGCTTTATGTGGCCTCTCTGGACTCCCATATATTTGCACTAAGTTTAGTCGGGCACCATTTGCAGTCATCAGCCGACATTTGAAGCAAAAAGAAATCAGGTAAAAGCCGCATCGCCGCACCACTTTTTGGGCAAGCTCCATACTAAGTTTGGCCTTATGACTCATTTTGTTCGGTTAGGTCACATGTGGGCTTGGAGCAGCCGTCTGGTTAGGGGTCTGGTCGCCGATAATGGCCCGAGCCGACTATCAGCGACCTTACCTCGCTCCTCATTGAGTTTATCCAGCAGGGTGTTCTTGTCGTTCAGGTCCCCCTTGAGGGTTGCCTCCAGCTGGGCTATCTGCAGCTTCAGTTGCTTCTCATTGGCTCGGTACTGCCTCTCCCTCTCAGCATCAAATGCACTGGGGAGGCAATATACAATGCAACACTCAATATGTATGGTCAACGTACAATCTCCTAGCAGGGAAATGCACAATTAATGCACAACAGGAAACACTTCAATTGCCTTGATAATTAGACACACATCTGTTCATGATACCTAAAATAGGCATGCTTTAAAAAAATAAGTCTTTGTTAAAGTTCAAAAAAGAACCATTGAAAATTGGATTTGGTGATGTGGACTTCTTGATGCATTCGACTTAGCTAGTATTGAGTTTTATACATTTTGATGAAAATGTTTATGGTCATTCAACTGTTCCTTCTTCACATCCAAATTATAGATGATTTTCCTTTTGGGATAAACACGACACAAACATGATATATTATGGAAGGTACCAATGAAACAGAAGAAAAACTCTTGCCAGAAAGTTACCCCGACCTTCGGATTGCATGAGGTAGTACGGTATTTGTCATGCTTCACTTTCTTCTAAACTTTTGATTGCATGAAAAGTTATGGCAAGTACAAAATCCCCAAAACTTTGGACTGCACCACATTTCAGTGCAATTTCCTATGGTCCAAATTTCTGGCAAACTATGGACTCTGTGAATATGTATCCCCATAATGGTTACAAAGAGAGTTGGAAGGGGGAGGGGGCGGAGCCGGGGGGGGGGGGGGGGGGAGAGGAGTGAGGAGAAGGGGATGTATCCCCTCAACAGTTACAAAGAGACTTGGAGGAGACCACCAAGGGAGGGGACCCAAGGGGCAAATGAAAGATGGTCGGACACTGGATCATATGCATGGCGTTCACATTGGTGTTAGCTTTGTGAACCATGTGCACCTGTGGTGTCCCCCCCCCCCTCAAACTTGGGCTCTCGAAGTTGTTCAAAAGTGCTGTCTACTATTCATGCACGCAGTTCATCGATTCTATGAAAAGTGAAAGATTTTACAGATTCGGTTACCATTGCCCAATAGACTTGCGTGCATTAATCAGCTGCATTTATCACAAGGTATTAAAAAGCTTCAATCTTGATGTGAACATGTGCAATTAGAATACCACACTGGCTTACAAAAGAGGATTTACCTGTTCAATAGTTTCTCATTGGCTTCTTGTAAAATAATCTTTTCGTTCTCAACATTGCCGATTCGCTCCTGGAGCTGAAATGAAGCAGAATAATACTTATGTGAGAACCTATTCTTGCTAACAACCCCAACAAATCACAGATATACTTCCAATTTTACAAAGTTTGTTGACCGAATATAAAGCTCGATTCTTAGAACGCCACAGTGTTCCAGAAGCTGCAGGTTCGAACCCTGCTCAAGTCAATTCATCTTTTTGTCCAACTGAATCTAGTGGATAATTTGACAGCTTGTTAAAGGTACGTAAGATAATTTTTTTTGTGAATTTTTTTTTTTAAGTGAAGCAACACGATTGCGCAAAATTTAAAGTAGGGTGTTTAACAACTAACCCATTCATGTATAAGCTCAGTTGATACTATACATTTTTAGAGAAGATAGAAAAGGTATTAACCAATTTTGAGTCTTGTAACTGGATTCTGCGCCAACGTACGTCAAAAGTGTTTGAAACCACCTTCAATGTTAGTTTCTTACAAACGATACCATTTCAGGCAGAATAATTCCACAGGGTGTTTAACAGCAGTCTTATCTTCATTTTGAGCAAGCTTTCTGTTCTTAAAGGGAATATACATCATTTGCTTTTGCTGTAATTTTCAGAAATGGATGGAATTGGGGGGTTGGAAATATACAGCAAATATAGTTACACTGACTTTTTTGAGGGTTTTGGGTTCGAAAATGCTATAAAAACCAAGAAAAACCAATCATTTTCCTGTAGTCTGGTTCCCTGACTCCATTTAAGAAGAAACACACCAGTTTACATATATTGGGGAATTGTAAGGTCAGGGAACCAGTCTAGCTGGCTTGTACCCGTTCATAGTTGTGTAATCGATTGCAAACAAGTGCGATGGTCAACTGGGGCCAGTATTTGAAAAAAAGCCAGTTTTTTTCCAACGCTGATCGGCCGATCAGCATTGGAAATTGATACAAAAATACCACTTTTCTTGAAAATGACAGTATACCAGGTGCCATGATTTTACAGGATGCTTTACACTGTCATTCACTAACAGTCCAGCAAGGTATTTCAAAATGATTCGGTAGTTTTATTTTTTGATGTTTGCAAATGTTGTATTTTCCCTTTAAATCAATAGGTACTTTTCTGAGTAATTGCAAATGATCCTAATAAATGGATAATACCTCCATGATGGTTCTGTGTGAGGTGCTAGACTCTTTGAGCTCACTCTGAAGCCCAAGTACTTTACTTCGCTCCTTCTGGTATTGCAAATGTTCCTAGCTACGTGGCTATAATTACCTCCATAATGGTTCTGTGTGAGGTGCTAGACTCTTTGAGCTCACTCTGAAGCCCAAGTACTTTACTCTGCTCCTTCTGGTATTGCAAATGATCCAAGCTACGTGGCTATAATTACCTCCATGATGGTTCTGTGTGAGGTGCTAGACTCTTTGAGCTCACTCTGAAGCCCAAGTACTTTACTTCGCTCCTTCTGGTATTGCAAATGTTCCTAGCTACGTGGCTATAATTACCTCCATAATGGTTCTGTGTGAGGTGCTAGACTCTTTGAGCTCACTCTGAAGCCCAAGTACTTTACTCTGCTCCTTCTGGTATTGTAAATGATCCAAGCTACGTGGCTATAATTACCTCCATGATGGTTCTGTGTGAGGTGCTAGACTCTTTGAGCTCACTCTGAAGCCCAAGTACTTTACTTCGCTCCTTCTGGTATTGCAAATGTTCCAAGCTACGTGGCTATAATTACCTCCATGATGGTTCCGTGTGAGGTGCTAGACTCTTTGAGCTCACTCTGAAGCCCAAGTACTTTACTCTGCTCCTTCTGGTATTGTAAATGATCCAAGCTACGTGGCTATAATTACCTCCATGATGGTTCTGTGTGAGGTGCTAGACTCTTTGAGCTCACTCTGAAGCCCAAGTACTTTACTTCGCTCCTTCTGGTATTGCCAATGATCCTAGGTGGCTATAATTACCTCCATGATGGTTCTGTGTGAGGTGCTAGACTCTTTGAGCTCACTCTGAAGCCCAAGTACTTTACTTCGCTCCTTCTGGTATTGCCAATGATCCTAGGTGGCTATAATTACCTCGATGATGGTTCTGTGTGAGGTACTAGACTCTTTGAGCTCACCCTGAAGCCCAAGTACTTTACTTCGCTCCTTCTGGTATTGCCAATGATCCTAGATGGCTATAATTACCTCGATGATGGTTCTGTGTGAGGTGCTAGACTCTTTGAGCTCACTCTGAAGCCCAAGTACTTTACTCTGCTCCTTCTGGTATTGCCAATGATCCTAGTTACGTGGCTATAATTACCTCCATGATGGTTCTGTGTGAGGTGCTAGACTCTTTGAGCTCACTCTGAAGCCCAAGTACTTTACTTCGCTCCTTCTGGTATTGCCAATGATCCTAGCTACGTGGCTATAATTACCTCCATGATGGTTCTGTGTGAGGTGCTAGACTCTTTGAGCTCACTCTGAAGCCCAAGTACTTTACTCTGCTCCTTCTGGTATTGTAAATGATCCTAGCTACGTGGCTAAAATTACCTCCATGATGGTTCTGTGTGAGGTGCTAGACTCTTTGAGCTCACTCTGAAGCCCAAGTACTTTACTCTGCTCCTTCTGGTATTGCCAATGATCCTAGGTGGCTATAATTACCTCCATGATGGTTCTGTGTGAGGTGCTAGACTCTTTGAGCTCACTCTGTAGCCCGAGTACTTTACTCTGCTCCTTCTGGTATTGCAAATGATCCTAGCTACGTGGCTATAATTACCTCCATGATGGTTCTGTGTGAGGTGCTAGACTCTTTGAGCTCACTCTGAAGCCCAAGCACTTTACTCTGCTCCTTCTGGTATTGCAAATGATCCAAGCTATGTGGCTATAATTACCTCCATGATGGTTCTGTGTGAGGTGCTAGACTCTTTGAGCTCACTCTGAAGCCCAAGTACTTTACTCTGCTCCTTCTGGTATTGCAAATGATCCTAGCTATGTGGCTATAATTACCTCCATGATGGTTCTGTGTGAGGTGCTAGACTCTTTGAGCTCACTCTGAAGCCCAAGTACTTTACTTCGCTCTTTCTGGTATTGCAAATGATCCTAGCTACGTGGCTATAATTACCTCCATGATGGTTCTGTGTGAGGTGCTAGACTCTTTCAGCTCACTCTGAAGCCCAAGCACTTTACTCTGCTCCTTCTGGTATTGCAAATGATCCAAGCTACGAGTTTATATTTACCTCCATGATGGTTCTGTGTGAGGTGCTAGACTCTTTGAGCTCACTCTGAAGCCCAAGCACTTTACTCTGCTCCTTCTGGTATTGCAAATGATCCTAGCTACGTGGCTATAATTACCTCCATGATGGTTCTGTGTGAGGTGCTAGACTCTTTCAGCTCACTCTGAAGCCCAAGCACTTTACTCTGCTCCTTCTGGTATTGCAAATGATCCAAGCTACGAGTTTATATTTACCTCCATGATGGTTCTGTGTGAGGTGCTAGACTCTTTCAGCTCACTCTGAAGCCCAAGCACTTTACTCTGCTCCTTCTGGTACCGCTTGTTGAGTTGCTCCATCTCCGCTAAGACAGTATCGTGGCTCTTCTTTACTGTCCTTAGATTCTGTCAGAAAATACAAACGGTTTCAAAACGAGAACGAGATCAGGAGAAAATGAGATGTGTTTATGAAACAATCTCATTTTTCTTTCTGGGCTATCTGATCTGTGCTCACAATGGAAACTGTGCACACGTGCAAGAGAGCAGTCTGGAAGTTCATTTGGGCACCATCTTGCCTGCAATACACAAGCCAGGGGTGTGGCTAGGTTCAATAAATCTGAACTTGTGCACAACAGACTTCTTGTTGCAAAACAAAAGCACACTTTAATATTAATTTCCACCAGGGGGACAAATGGGAGGAGAGGAAGGGGGCTTAAGGGTGGTCAATTTGGCCAGTATTAGCTACTAAAGGTATTAGCTCCTTCAAGGGGGTATGGGCCTTATTCACGAGTCGGCCATATTGAATTAAAAGTTAGGTAAAATCTTAATTTTTTGAACTTGCAAACAGAAATAAAAGCAATTTAGTTAATAATCAATTCCAGTCTGCCTTAATAAATAATTTAAAATTTGTAATTAAACATTCCCTAATGTTTAAAGCCATATTTAAAAAAAAAAAGGGACAGTAAAATAAGGCTGCATTGTGCCTACATAAATAGTCTGGCGCCATCCAATTAAACAGTTAACAATTAATGAAATACATTCAGGGAACTCGACAAAAATGGCCAACTCGTTAAAAAGGCCCATGGGCAATTCCAGCATCATGGACATTACAAATGAGAAATGTATTTGTACTTTACAGAGCTCAGTGAATAACCCTGAAAATGTATTTTTCAAATCTTATACATCCATCATCAAGTAACGGTCAAGGAGATAACACACTAGGAGTTTTGGATCATTTCTCTGAATCATTAATTACTTATCATGGTTAATTGGCTCCGTCACAGACATTACACTGTCTTCCATAATGCTGGAATTGCCCTTTCCAATACGCAAAGAGATGACAGGGGGCCTTCAAAACCTTGGCATCATCTTCTGCTTCAGCTTTACATTTAGCTTCAGAATCGTTCAGGCTAAACACGTGGGACTGCTCTGAGCACTGGCCTCATATTGAGGCTTTAACGTTTCTGAGGCAGAACATGGACTCATGGTCTCATGTTGAGTCCGATTCCCCAAGTTAGGGCCCTAAAATCTTCCGACGCCATAACTGGAGTGAACCCAAGGTTTTAAAATCCCATGGACTCTTAACTTCTCTTCAGAACTATATATAGCCCAGTTGAGAAAAGTAGACAGACTGCACTTTATGTCAGGGCTGAAATAAAACACTTGGGAATTTCTGGAAACTTTACATTTCAAATGGTTAAAAATGTGCCAAATGTAAGACTACACATACAAGAAATGTTTAAACATTCATCTATTACAAACAGCTAGTTTTACCAAAACTAGTGAAAATTTAGACAACTTAGTTTTGATGATATTTTCTTGAATACTGACCTCTTCCAGATTGGCAAACTGAGATTTCAAAGCCTCCAGCTTTGTGGATTTCTCCTTGACTTCTCTTTGCAGACGAATCATCTCAACATTCTCATGAATGTTTGTCCTGGTTAACAATTAACAACATTGGAAAACAGTTAAATAACACAAAACTGGTGAGGTGGCTGGCAAATACAGTGAGGTGAAAATGTGGTATGTAAACCCCACCCCCCTCGCCCCCAACCAAATAAAACTTTTCTAATAGAATTATTAGCTTTTGTTGCAATTGACCTATCGTCGTTTGCATGTTAGCCACGCCCCTTAGACAACCCTATGAAATTTGTGTACGATAAGTTTTGTTTGTCTCAGATTTTGCGTGTTACGCGTCCATTTGTATATCACGTAATTGGACAATATTTCACAAGCTGCGTTGACACGATTCTACTGCGATAGGTTAATTGACTGATTACAATTGATGTGCTATCCCCCAGTACAGCAGGTTCATTAAGTTCATTGACACAATTGTTACCACAAACAATTGGGCTGTTTTTTAGGTGTTTTGGTTTTTCATAAAAAAAAAACGATGCCAGAAGAGTTTGTCAACAGGTTATTATGTTGTCTCATTCATGTGGTTCAGGGTTCGAACCAAAACAACCAACTCAAGTTGCTCAGTGTGTTTAACTTCTCATAATATTCAGAAGCTTATTCTGCTTAAATCGTTTTAAATTTGGTTGGTTAGTATTCACAGAGTTAGTGTTTGTGCAGGGAAGTCAAAGTTAGCAAACTTGTGGTTGACAGCCCTATATTAAATATAGACTATCCACATTAACCATACATATTAACCATATATTAAATCTCAATTGTGAGAATAATAACAAAGACAACCTGAATTAAAGCAACTATATCTCCCAGCACCTTTTGTTAAAATCTGTGCACAATTACCCCCTCAATGGTTACAGAGAGAGAGCTTGGAGGGACAACTGACATCACAATGGGAGAAACGCTTGTAAGCACTGGCGCCGTACACTTACTGCTCACTCAGAGACACTTCAGGTTTGTGAACATTTAATTAAGAGATTAATTCCTGCATACTCCACACTATATGCGCCACTGATCTCTATATAAAGACTGGATAGCGGATATGCATACAACATTCACACAGTAGACTTTGCATATTGACCAATTCGCCCCCGGTCTCACGAAGATGGCCGCGTATAATACGAACGTTCTACGCGTAAATACGCGCGCGTTGTATCAACAGTTGACGCGCATTTTGGTCACGTACACATATTATGATGTTCTAAAAGGAACACATTTCCGTAGTGATTATTATTTCAAAAACGCCGAAAAAGTGATTTGCGGCATTATAAAAGTAACCACTACGTTAGAAAAATTGTAGTAAACCTTGGTCAGTTGGTCAGTGGTGGTGGCCAAAATATAAGTCAAGTGAGCCGCGACGTTACAAAAGAAATCAAGCTGTCTATAAAGACGGCAACTTGTCCTTTGTAGATCACCAGCCGGTCTCACCAATATGGCGTCAAATTCGTACAGTGTGCGGCTCTTTATTAGCTATCCAGTCTTTATATAGAGATCAGTGATATGCGCACACGCAAACCAGCACCCGATTTCACGAAGCGCTGCGACAATTCGCAACCCGAGTTAGGACGTGTAACACGTCGCAATTCACGACGCATTGAGTGATCCATTGCACGAAACTTGTATGTGTTGGACGCGTCGTAAGTTCCTTGGCAACGGCTTAAAACACGTCACAAGTCATGACATGGCTTGTGCAAAATAAGCGTCCTTTTCTTAGCCAGTTTTATGCCATAAAAATGCCATAAACGAGACAATAATTCAGAGACAATGTGTGTAAAGTTGTAAATGGAAAATGCATTGAACTAATTATGAATAAGCCTGGAATATTGCAGTTGAATTTCAAAGCAGCTACACAGTCCACCGCGAGCTTATTTTCCTTTAAAACTGCATTACACGTCTGCCATTTTGTTTTACGTTTTAAAAACTTTTCAAGAGGATATCCAACGACTCTTTGTCGAATATCAGACGACTATTTACTGTACGCTGAATAAATACATATAACAGTCACTGTGTTTGTGCTACAAACACACCTACGACGCGTCACACATACGACGCGTTTTGTGAAGTGAATCACAAGACGCATCACAGCTCCGACGCATCATGGAGAACAACTCGTCGCAGCGTTGCAATGCATCGTAAGTGACGATGAATTTAATGAAATCGGGTGCAGTACACAGTGTCCCTCTCACTAGAGCTCTTGAGAGTGGATGCAAAGCGCCCTCTACAGTCCATGCATAGAGTCCATTTCCCAAATAAATGTACAACCCTCAATTGGGAATATACGGTAACTCTATGAGGGCTGTGATAACATACATAAGTTGGCCACACAGATTTTCAAACTTTACCGTGAAGTTGAATGCACTGTGTACAACATGATGGGGATTGGAATGAATACAAGCAAAGGGTGATGAAGGGAAAATCATTCAATTAAAAAAATGAAATGTCATGCTATGAAATAGACCTAAGACATAATGACGTCACGCTTTGTTTACATTTCAGACTGGGGTGCTGTGGTCCAGTGGTTACCGTGTTCGACTCGCGTGCCATGGGCTCGAATCTTGATGGGGAACATGGTGCTTGTGCGCTTGGGCAAGGCACTTTACTACAACTGTCTCTCTCCACCCAGGTGTAGTAAATGGGTACCTGGTAGGAAGAGATTCCTTCAAATGCTTGAACACCGTAATGGCAGCCGTGCTAAAGCCAGGGTAATAACAGAGCGCCAGGAGCGTCACTTCGTGACAGACATGAGCGCTATACAAGAAGCAATTGGAGTTTTTCGTCCCCACCTAGCTCCCATAGGAAAGCGCACATGTAAGCAAAGCGTGGACACCGTTATGTCTTAGGTGTATCAATCACATGCTGTCTGTTGTATGATTCATATTTTCAGGCTTTTGACACTATTGCTGTTACGCCCAAACTATATGGCGTCGTCCCCAACTATAATTGACCTATCGCAGCAGAATCACATTAGAATTGTGTCAATGCAGCTTGTGAAATATTGTCCAATTACATGATATACAAATGGACGCGGAACGTGCAAAATCTGCGACAAGCAAAACTTAGTGTACACAAATTCCACAGGCTTGTCTGAGGGGCATGACTAGCTCGCAAACGGCGATAGGTCAATTGAGACGATCCCAACTACAGCTAGGATCATCCCAATTATAGTTAGGAATTCTGCAACTATTGTCGAGACTGCCTAAACATAGTTGGGACCGTTGCCATATAGTTGGGCGTAACATTGCCATTACAAGAATTTAATCATGAATGACGGACATTACTTGAGGAATGAGGTGGAAGGGTTTGGGTGGACAGGGGGGGAGGTGGATGGAGGGGAGTGGAGAAAAAGGGTTATGGAGAAACATGCTTGATGAAAATGAAAGGTGATGACGACCCATCTTTACAGTCAACTATGATGGAAAGAATTAAATCAATTACAGGAATTATATTGATTAATGCAAGGAAATGAAAGACAGCAGGACCACATTTATTATCCTTTGAAAAGTTTGGGGTTAATTTCACAGGTGCTTATTTAGGCAATCCCTCAGTTATAACTTTTGCAAATCCCTGGAATTCCATAGAATGCATTTGGCTTGTTAGAAAACTTGCTTCAACCAGAGTGTTATTTTTCCACCGTTTATCCTCACATATTATATTGGCTTGTAAGTGGACATTTGGCTTCAAATTTTCCTGGTTTTAAGTACAAATCAAATGGAGTTTTTGCACAATAACGTTGTGCAAACCCAACCCGAAACCGACCCGACCCGACAATGACTTCGGTTTGGTTTTTCCTTTCGGTTTGGTTTTTATTTCATTTCAGTTGGGTCGGGTCGGTTTTGGTGATGCGATTTTCGGGTCGGGTCTGGTCGATTAAGCCGTCTTGTGACCAATATAATGTCCACCCACTGCATGATTGTGCATGTGGCTTGCGGTCTATCATGCACAGTCTATAAAGTGTAGGCCAACCTGTCGGTTGAGTTAGGAGCGTTCACCGCTCTATGTACGGTACGATTCTTTACTGAGAGACGATGATTTTCCAAAAAAAAAATCACGTGACGTGGGTAACTTAAGGGCACAAAAGCAGACAGTGTGCGTGAAATATAGGACGATTTGCCCAAGCCAGATATTTAGAGGTTTTTTGGGTTGGTTCGTTTTTTTGTCAGGTCGGGTCGGATTTGGGGAGTTCAGATCGGTTTCGGTTGATATCCATAATGTTTCAGGTCAGTCTGGCCTGGTCAGCACGACCCGATGCACAACATTAGTGCACAATTACTCCTTCAATAATGACAAAGGAAATATACAGCCTGTCTCAAAAAAATGGTACAATCGAAAATGATTTTTTTTTTTCAATATTAAATCTCAACATAAGTAAGTCGTTTTGAGCATCACATTAAAGAAAAAAGACCAGGCTTTCCAATACTTTTTGTTTCATCTCATTTGCTTTTGTCAATCCAGAGATAACTCCAGTTTACTGCGGAACACAAAAATCGAGTTTGTTTATTTTGCCAAGTTGCAATCTTTTGTGAGCTTCAAGACAGCATGGCACAGTACTCGAAACAACTCCAAAATTGATTTTGGTGTATCGCACTAAATTGATTATATCTCTGAATTGACAAAAGCAAATAAGATCAAACAAACACTATTGGAAAGCCCAGTCTTTGTTCTTTAATATTATGCCAAGTAAGAATGACTTATTTTGAAATTTCATATTTAACTAATTTTTTTTCCGATTGTACCATTTTTTTTTAAACAGGCTGTATAAGACTTGAAGCTTTGCATGGCAGATGAGATAAGGTAAGACTGTGGGTAACACCATGTGGAAACTAATCTCTTCTTAAGAAAATATGAAAGACACTTGCATACCATTGCCATTCTCCCCCTTGCAAATCTCTATTAAAGTCATTTTCCCCAAGATGTAAGGTTAACAATCACACAACCATTCGTGCATATTCATACATGTACGTGCATTGTTAGGTTCAGGAAAGCACAGGTATATGGTCAAATGGTGCAACAATTCACACACATGTCACTGCATCAGCTGATGCTGAACACTTACTTTGCTGTATGCCTGTTGTCATGGAAACAGAGGGAAGATAAAGAATGAAAACCAGGTGACAGAAAAGATTATATTTTTTACACAAACACTGTAAGAAAAACAGACAGTTTGAATGCGGGAGGCTCTTTCTAAACAACATTTTTGCTGCAATAGAAACTAGAGAACTTTTGTGTGCAACTAATTTACATTTACAGGCTAGACTAGGTGGATAAATTTGCACGAATACAGGGCGAGTTAAAAAAAAAAGGAAACCACATGGAGCCCCTATTTTTTTTAAGAAGTTCTGCATGTAGCGCTTTCTGGATCTACAATATGAAAGCCCAATTAATAAGCTTTCTTTTAGTGAAAGAATTATTCAAATCGCTCATGTACTTTTTCAGTTATAGAATTTTGAACACAAACACCATTTTTTAGCTTGCTCACGGATCGCATTTAAGGTACATGATATTTCAGTAAAAAAGAAACCAGTCGTATCCCGAAAATGATATCAGAATAATCCCATAAGTTTCCAGGGTAGCCAAGTAGAAGGCAGGGCAAGACTATAAACTCTTGACATTATACAGCATGTTACTTTAACATTGAAAGCAGCAGGTTTTTAAATAAATGTTATGATAAGTGCCAGTTATCATGGTTCTGAGAGTCTGATGTGTTTTCTGATATGTGAATAGTTTTCGTTTTGCTGAAATATCACTTACCTTTATTGTGATACGTGGACAAGGTTGAAAAACGGTGTTTGTGTTCAAAATGATACAGAACTTCTTTAAAAGATAGGGGGCACCATTGCGATTTCCTTTTTTTGTTACACACCCAGTAGAGAGGTTTCACATGAGAGTTTCACATGAGAAAGGGATGCCAGTGGGTTTTTGCCATAGGGCCAGAAAAACTTGACACAATCCCAATGCACCATACACATGTCGCAATATAGCATGTGTTGAATGGTAGGTTAAAATTGCATGTACAATACATACTTTCACGTATTGCACTAGCATGGTGATCACCATTGAGCAGCGCACACACATTGAACAAAGACTCACCAACCAGTACACTTAGTTTAAAACTATCGTTCGCCATACAATTGAAATGTGCTAACACGATGCTCACAATAGCTAACGTAGGCTCCCATTTTGGATCACTACCAACAGTTTTAGCAGTTCCCCACAGAAGCATATGTGTATGCGTACAAGATGTGAAGAACGGATTGACTGATAGCTCAACGAAGACACATGTGTATCAGTTTGCATGCGAAACCTCTCAAATAATTACAATGAAGAGAAAAGAACAGGCAGCTAAATTTACTTGCCTTTAAAGTAGCATTTAATATCAGTGTGCTTCTACAGCTCATTTCTTAGCTTTGGTCAAGGCGCTCGTCATTATTCGTCCGTACGGTATTTCGGCCTCGAGCGCTGCGCGCTGACTGATCGCTTTGCGATGCATGTGAAAATACAGCGCGAACAGCGACCTCATACGGCCACTATTTATATGCAAATCATTTGGATCTAGACTAATGCCTTGGTCCAATCGTCCATGTGAAGTTTTGGGGTGCTGATTATGCTAATAGCCTAAGCTGACCTTAAAAGTCGTTTTCTTATTGGTCGATCGTTGCGTGGAAACTTGCATAATAGTTAGCGAGCGGTGTGGCGAGACATGTACTGTATGTCTCAGACACATTACACACTACACCAATGCACCAAAAATGTGGTTTCTGACACGTCCGCAAAAGGCGAATAGCTGCAAATAATTTGAGATTTACCAAGGCGTGATTGGACACTCCACATTTTAGCCCCGCCTCCACTTATTCGTATTCACATATGAGGTCGTGCGCTAGAAATCTAGCGCAATATAAAGAAAAACATTAGCTTTTGCCGACGATTGGACCAAAGCGTTTGATCAGATCCAAATGATTTGCAAAAATAGTGGCCGCATGAGGTCGCTGTTCATGCTGCATTTCTAATGCACGGCATAGCAAAGAAATGCCGCCGACCAAACGGACGGATATAACGACGACCGCCTTGACCAAGGCTACTCATTTCTGCAACTAGTTTAGTACTTTTTGCTTTGTCTTAAGCGAGCTAAATGCATTTTCTAACACAACATGTATATATAGAAGAGTGCATACTATAATTTGCAACTTCCAATGGCAAGACAAGATTCTAATTCTTAGATTATTGCTGAATACCAGGAATATTGCATTGACATAGGAAAAACTATCCACACTGACCTTTGACCTGCTGACATCTGTTCCTTCAGTCTGAGTAGTGTTTCATCATGCTCCAGTTCCTTGATTCTCACCTGGGTGCATTAAAAAAGGAGTAAGGTTTGAAGACATTTTAACATTCCTGAAGCATTTTTGGTAACAAATGTAATTTTTCCAAACATTCTTAAGTCATTGTAGCTCAATCCTGAAACAAATAACCATGAAAATGTCATGAAACAAACAAAAAGGAAACACTTTTCACTATTAACTACAAAAATGTAACCCCGCACATCCATATCTGGTTGAGAGTAATTTCACACTATGCTTGTACTTTGAATAGTGTCTGCGGTCATACAGTATGAAAACAGTAAGGGAGTCATTTGTCCTATGCGCATGAACAAGCTCATCAATGGTCAAGAACTGTTGTAGTGTCACAAATCACAATAAGGCCCCCCAAAAAATAAGCCTCTGATCAGCGCGCGCGTCGATTTTAATCATGCGCGTCAATCTTTTTTTTTTCCAAAATGTTCCGCGGTAGCTCCAACAGCGCCCTCTATTGCCGCACCTCCTATTTTTTTTACCAAAGAGCACCAAGGAATGGGAAATTGCACCAAGGCAAATGATCGAGAGCACCAAGGCAAATTATGGAGGACACCAATGTACATGAGGACACCAAAAAAGCAAAACAGTACCCCACCTTGTCTGTACAATCCAAGCTTGAAGAAAAAAAAAAAAAGCAACAAAAAAAAAACCAAAAAAAAGCCAAGTCCCCGCGTCAATTCCGGAACTTTGGTCTGACTAGAGACCGAATATTTTTTTTTTTTGGCCTAAAAGCTAAAGTTTGCACCAATTTACAAATACCTGTTCCTGAAGAATCTCCCGATCTTGCTCTAGTGAGGCGATGTGATCCTGCAAATCCTGAATCATTTCCTCACTAAATTTCAAAGACAAAATTATTACCAAGTATTCATGCAATCTGCCTTTTAGAAAAAAAAATTAAAACATGTTTTTTTTTCAACAAAGCATGTAGCACCTTAGAACTTAATCAAAGAAGTTGACTGTATTTATTTTTCAATGATCAGCAACTATCTCTTGAGTCAAGCGGATACATCGTACACAATTATTTGCTGATTTTGATGGTTTTAAAACATGCACCAGGCACAGCCTTTCGTGAATTTCTACACGCTCGAGGACAATGCTTGGTGTTTCCCTTTGTCCCTGTAATATAACACTCTCCCATGGACTAAGCACATACCCGTACAATCGAGGACCATTTTCAACAAAAGACCCAACGCTCGAGAACTGCGAGGATCTGTTGTTCCCTCTAAGTGTGTCTGTCCTCTATCGTAAAGTCATACATGTACAGTCTTTCCTACATGCATCTGCAATGCACACATACTGTAACAGGCGTCCGTCTTTGAAAAAGCGTTAGCAAAATGTCAAAATACAAGTTTCACTAAATGCTTACTGAATTAAATGTTGATTAGCATCCTTATTTTGAGGTCACAGCCTGTCCAATTCATAAGGTTAGGTCACGTATCCAGTCCCACGGTGATGGCAGTAACACATATTCTTCTGCTTTTTGTGCAAACGAATAGTATCCATAAAATACAGAAAGATAAACTGATCTTCTGTGAGTTGAAATCTGAGCCAACATTTCATTACATGCATTTGGTGTTCAGAATAAATACTACTGCTGCATCTTAAAGGTACACATATGTGACCTGTTCTGTCAAAATCAGACTTTTCTGGGCATAAGGTCAAAAATGATATTTTTGCATATTGTTAAAATATGTTCTGTTTCCTTTTAATAAGTGGTTTAATTTTTGAAACCGGTAATTCCTGCGCAAAGTTATGCTATTTTGAAGTTCATTGTGTCGAAAAGTAGAAAACAGAGAAAATGGACACAAACGTCACAAAACAGACATTTCTTTAAATGATATACCTTAACAAATCATCAAAAATACTATAATTAGAGATCAAATTAGGGCTTCAAACTTTTATAGTATGTTTTAGACATGTTCAGGATTACAAATATGCAAAAATTAGAAAATGGAAAAAAATCACACCCACAGCGTTTTTTTTGCCCCATCTCAATTTCAACCTCTGCCCAGAAGCGTCTGCTTTTGACAGAACAGGTCACATATGATCATTTGCTTTAAGCACACCTTTAGTGCTTGTTTCCTTTCGAAAGACATTACTTAAGGTAGAATAATTTCACAGGGTATTTGATACCAGTCCTATCGTCACTTTGAGCGAGGTTTCTGTCAGTAAATCGTTGGGTACTTTTGGGGTATGTGCAAATGATTCTATGTGAAAATGAATCCTATCCTCTTCCTTCAACACATGTCTAGGCCGGGCTGAGACAGCCCCATAGTGACTACTCACAGTCTGTGGTTCTCCTCTCTTGCCTCCTCAAGCAGACTGTGACCGTATCTTGGTAGGACATCCGTCCTGAAGGCTCTGGGTGTGGCTGATCTGAGGGGGAAAAAATGGAATAACAAAATTCGGATGGCTTCAAAACTGTTGGAATACATAAACCAGTAACGTGCATGTTTGACTATGTGATTGATTACAAACTGCAAGTGCCCTTATTGTAAGTGTTTACATGTATTTGACACTTCACACAAGTTGGGCAAATGGACCTGTCACTACGAAATGAGCTTAAAGTTGGAAATTGCCATTTTGCGCAGCTAAAATTTGAAGGGATGGTCATTTTTTTTCTTTTTCTTTTTCAGGTGAACCTTAATCTGTGAGTCCTGCACTACCTTCATTCACTTTTTCGGTTCGCTCAAACATTTTTAGAACCTATTTCCTCCCTTCCATTATAAGTTGACTGTTCATTCACTACACAACTGCAAGATGTTTTAAAAGCCATTTTCTCAAGAATCAGTTCTACCACTTCAAGTATAAGCCTCTGTACTGATGACGTCACACTTTGTTTACGTGTTCGCTTTCTTATGGTGCTCAGTGGACCGTGGGCCCCCACTGGCTCCATAGGAAAGTGCACATGTAAACAAAGTGTGACGTCATTAGAACAAAGGCTTATTAAAGTTGGTGGTCTATATTTCTGTTACTGAACTCAGTACCCCTTAATGTTATATACCATTGGAAAGCTCTTGTTCTGCAGAATCCAGATATATAAATATCTCAAAAGTCAGACATAAAAGGGAATGTACATCATTGGCTTTTACTGTAATTTTCTGAAATGAACTATTTGAGGGGTAAGTATATAATAGATCAAATATTGTTACACTGACATGTTTGAAATTTTGTGTTCGAAAATGCTGGAAAAAGCAAGAAAACCAAAAATGTTCAAGTAGTCTGGTTCCCTGACTCCACTTAAGATAAAATGAATCAATTTATAGATGCCAGAAAATTGTAAAGGTAAGGGAACCAGTCTAGCTGGCCTGCACCCGTTCATGAACATGTAACCAATAGCAAACAAAATTTGGACTGAAAAAAGGATAAATCTGGAGCAGTAATTGAAATATAGTTGGAACCGACCACCGTTGGAAATGTATACAAAAATACCATTTTCTTGAAAATGACTTCACACCAGGTGCCATAATTTTACAGGATGCTTTAGACTGTCATTTACCAACATCCTAGTAAGGTATTTCTTAAAAACTTGGTAGTTTTATTTTTCGATGTTTGCAAATGCTGTATATTCCCTTTAAGCTCATTTTCATGACAGGTCACAATTGAGTTGGTATTTTGCCCAATGTTTGTCAACACAACATACCCAATGCCTACACTCTTGGGTAAATGACTTGGGGGTGTTGGCTATGGGCAGGCCGTCACCGCATTATGGGGAAGTTTTTCATTGTAAGGCACATTAGAACCGAGCTATGGGGACTTTCTGCTGTCCCCACAGCGTCTTCAGTCCCAAAAGTACCATGGGACAACTCATGTGTAGTCCCCACATGTACGGAACAAGAATATGTGTACATGCAAAGTGTAATTTAAAAACATTTATATATGGGATCATGTACATTCGTTCTACTGCGTGACTCAAATGATCTCATTGTCTTACTTGGTCCGATCATGTCCCTGTACTCTCAAGCCTTTTCGGACGTTGTCTGGTGGTGGCGGTTTGGGCAGACCCTAAATACAAACAAAATAAAAAGAGTTAGTTATTACAAACAAATGTACACTCTTTTGATGAAAATGGACTGCAACACAAATATTAAAACGTCCCATCATTTTTTTTCACGGGGTATAGTTTTGCCATCTTTATAGTTTCCTAGCTTTGAACTGTGACATTGTGCATAAATGTATGTACATGTATTCGGGCCTGTAGAGTAGGCCATACAGTTAAAAGTATTGTTCCAACAGAAATCTGAAAAAAATTCCGTGTCTTTTCCACACTTTTTCCAGGACAAAATTAGGGCTTTCCATGACCAATTCCTATGCTGTTTTGGAATCTTTTAAAGGGAAAATACAACATTTGCAAACATCAAAAAATAAAACTACCAAATCATTTTGAAATACCTTGCTGGACTGTTAGTGAATGACAGTGTAAAGCATCCTGTAAAATCATGGCACCTGGTATACTGTCATTTTCAAGAAAAGTGGTATTTTTGTATCAATTTCCAACGCTGATCGGCCGATCAGTGTTGGAAAAAAATGGCTTTTTTTTTCAAATACTGGCCCCAGTTGACCATCGCACTTGTTTGCAATCGATTACACACCTATGAACGGGTACAAGCCAGCTAGACTGGTTCCCTGACCTTACAATTCCCCAATATATGTAAACTGCTCTGGTTCTTCTTAAATGGAGTCAGGGAACCAGACTACAGGAAAATGATTGTTTTTCTTGGTTTTTATAGCATTTTCGAACCCAAAACCTCAAAAAAAGTCAGTGTAACTATATTTGCTATTTATTTCCAACCCCCCAATTCCGTCCATTTCTGAAAATTACAGCAAAAGCAAATGATGTATATTCCCTTTAAGCCTAAATATAATGCACTGGTCAACAGTCTTGACCCTACACTCCAGTGTAAGTTTCTGTAAGTTAAGGTCATATTAATGTAAGTTTCCATCCAAATTATGTGGCTATGACTTGCAAGTACTCATGTGTCTACGGGAAGTGGCTGCAGCCATTTCCCATGGAGGCATGTGTCACTGCTAGCCGAAGTCAAGTTATTCAGACTCAATTCTCACTGACTTCAGACTGGATAAAGCCGGAGTCCATCATTTGCAGCTATCCAAAAAGTAACTGGCGTAATTATTGATGAAAAACATACTTGGTTGAAAGATAGTGAGGGGACTAAACTCCCTGTGAAATTATTCTTTCTGGCAAGCTGTCATTCTGAAGAAATCAACGAAAGAAGGCCTTTCCAACAGTGCGTCTTAAGAAGCACCGTTGGAAATTTCCGTTAGTAGTTTGTTTTTCTATTCGGCGAAGCGTGCGCAAGCGTTGACACGACGCACACGCGCGCGCAGTTGCTATAATTCGTCGGATCGTTGCGCGACATCGCGTAACTGCAATCGGTTCAGTCAGAACGTGTCTCGGACGCTGAATTCAGGCCCAATTCACAACATGATTCAGCAACTTTTGATTTGAAATTGAGATCCTAAAATGCTGTTTTTCTCGGAATATACAGCTGAAGCTGAGCTGAAACTTCATCAGGTTAGTTGTTCAATGCCCTTCTTTAGATTTTGAGTACTTTTGTTGCTTCAAACGAACAAAATGCACAAATTACAAATGATGGACTATATTTTTAAGTCTCAGTGAGATTCCAAGACCCTTGCTTGTGATACGCACAATTTACTTTGGCAACCACACTTAAGTCTATACTGGGCTATTCTGGAATTGTCCTCTGTTGAAGGTTTGGACTCATGTACAGTACTTGTTTTACTTAGAACTGAATGAGGGTGAAAAAAAATGGAGCGTCAACCCTGAATGAGATAAACCAATAAAACTTACAGTATTTATCCTGGATTGGACATGAGGATAGGGTGTCGATCTGGTACCCTGAGTGGCAAGCTGTTGTTTAGTAACCATCAACTAGAAACACACACAAAAAAGAGATAATAAAATGATGACAAAGACATTGTGCTGAACACTGTCAATAGCACTCCTGATAATGTTGATCAGGATAAGAATCACACAAATATACCAAGTGGCATTTTTGATCGAAATCTCCATGCAATTCCCATTCTTTCAAAATTCTCAAAAATTTCACGGTAACTTTTGAAGCATCTTGATTTATTGCAATTTGAAAAAAAAGTCATCCATCCTAACCATATGCATAAACCATATCATGCGAGAAAACTCAAGAAACTGACATTTAGACCATTTTCTGCTTAAAATTGGGAAATCTGTCCTCAAAACGTCCCCACCCCCAACTCCCAAAATAATTCCCCTTCCTAGTTAAATATAATCTAACCAAATACCTGTGGCAATTTTCACAAATCCACTGCTCAAAAATGTAACCATCCTTAAAACAAATAAATTACTTATTGTAAACAAAGATGATCGACATTCTGGTCTAGTACCAAGCCTTCTGCATACCTTGTTCTTAAGCAAGTCGTTCTGTTTGTGGAGTTCCCTCACTTTACCCTGAAGGTCCTCAAGCATCTCTTCTGTCTCCACGTCTCGCCCCTTACGAGCTGGCCTCTTAGCTCCTCCCTCTTCCTGGTCCTGCTTCTTCCGATCGCTGACTAGTCTTAGCAACTTGGTGGCCATTCTACATAATGAAATGATAATAAGGGAATAAATGTGTGCTCGAGAGGTTTTAATCACTCTGTTTAAGACAGCTTAGAGTCTGGGTGCTGATAATTACCCGAGCCGGAGGCGAGGATAATTATCAGCACCCAGACTCTAAGCAGTCTTAAACTGAGTGATTAATACCGACCGAGCACATATTTATTCCCATTCATAAATACCTTTTCGGTCAAAAAATATAATATTTCGGTCAAAAAATCCCGATTTTGTGCAACAAGTTCACTTCATGCTTTTTTAAACATCCCTCTAGCTTTTGCGTTGCGTTTTGAATTTAGAACTATAAAATTCTGACTCACTGGTAGTGTTGCACATGCCTACGTGAGGACTGTGAACGTTCAACCAATAAAACGGTAAGAGGCACTGGATTTTTAGTAGTCCACATTTTATGCAATACTGGGAAAGTGTTTAAGACCAGCTAGCCATGTCTTTATCATCCGTTTAAGACCGGCCACGTGACGGGCTCTCGACCAATAGGAATGGCTAAACTGTCTGAGGTATTTATGAATGCAAATTATAAAGTGAAGGTTTTTTTTAAGCCTTTCAAAGGTGCTGGTTTAGATGTTAATTGGAAGAAAGAAAAACCTCATCAACTGACGGGTAAAGCCTTTTGTGCGAAGAGTGTAAGGCTTTTCCCTGTCTCTCTGAGGTCTACTGGCAAGTAGTTCCAGAGAAAGGGTTCATTGTTTGAATGGCCCTGTCACTGTTTAAGGCAAGGCGAGTTCAGTCTTGACACAGAATTATACGTTTCATAGGGAGCGTGGAGCGTGACTACATGTATGAAATCAAGGCAAATTTCAATCTTTTAGTCAGATAATAACTTGTGGTTGAATTACCAAGTCGGTTGTACAATACATAATATTACAGATATTATTTTGGATCATAAAACGCAAAGATCGCACTTCAATGTGAGTGTATGAAACATCGGGTATGGTGTATGAAGTACAGCAGAACTGGAACTTCGGCAGGGCTAGCCAGTAAATTCCAAGCAAACCTCACGCACGCTGTACTGACGCTAATGCAAGCAAAGGATGTAAGCTCACAAATTTTCCATGTAGCGCAGCCAAAGTTCCCAAGCCTGGAACTTGTTGATAGTGATAGTTGATAGTGACCTCTACCACCATGGCGGCTTTACTGTGCTTGTTGGACACTGGCTGTATTAGTGCATTAAAATCCAACTCCAGTCACGAATGGTCCTGCACAATATTACTCAAACCTCACTTTTATAACCTAATTAGTTAGAAATTAGCAACAGTCACCAAAACTATTTAGATTCCAGACTCACTTTTTAATTTTCTCCTCCTGTTTGCGGGCATGTCTCTTCAAGACCAAGTTCTCATCGTGGAGACGGAGGTATTTATCTTCCAACTCCTCTCGGCTGATCTTGGCAACGGCTCGTCTCTGCTGAGCGCGACGCTGTTCGCTATCTGTCAGGGGACAGAAAGAGTTTGGAAAAAAAGAAGCTGTTTGTTTACATCTGGCCTAGCAGCGATTTTCATGCCATGTCTATACACATTTCCAACAGTTAATAGCCATCAAATTTTGAGTAAAGTTATTCAACATATCACTGGGCGCATTCTCTGATCACAAAACAGATTGTGTATCATTCTTGTACAATCTCTCAACAGATAGTAGCGCGCAACCATACAGTCTGGGTGGATCCATTGTCAAAGAAACAGCCATCGCATTGCAACTCGCGCGCCTGAGCGACAAGATCGATTTGCATAAACACGACATCCCAGCTTTGGGGTCATCTCGGAAAGATTTCTATATACGAAGTTCACTAATTTTCCTCTGTATTGACTAACAAGCCCCCAGATAGCAATTTCATGTCATCAAAGTCAATTTGAGCAGTGAGAAAATACAAGCATTTTCTTAGAAAATACTTACAATTTTTCAGTCCAATCTCATAGGGTTTGTACACAGGGTGTTGAGTGAACTTCGTATATGGAAATCTTTCTGTCATCTCTTCTAACATTCAAAATGGCTGCCATCAACAGAGGTTTTACGTGTGCAAATGGACTCCAGAAAGATGCCTAAATCTCTCAAAAATTGAATATGAGATAACCTAATCAACCTGGTGGTTTGCACGCTGTGTGGCAAAGGATACAGCGCAGCAATACCGTTGGCATACTAGCGGTGCTATGTATCTTGATGCCATATCCCAACTTAAACACTCCAAAAAACTCCTGCCACTTTTTCTTTTTACCCTGTGGTAACTCATGACCCCTGGCACCCCCACCAGGGTCTCGGACTGGTGTCTCGTCATACACGCTGTCTGCATCCATTTTGTCGGATACAATGTCTGGTTACACAGATTCTGACATAATTGGACGACACCTGCATAGTTGAGAACAAGGAAGAAAATCACCAACTGAATTATTAGACATTTAGAATTTATGTTTAGAAACTGGGCCCAGGCATGCCAGGAACGCACCATTAGCGTAAGCGCAATGTTTACAACAAATGTATTCACTACCAACTACTGGACATTTTTAGGCCCACGTTTCTTTAAAAGGTAATCCTTACTTTTAGAACACCTGTTCAAAACTGACTTTTGCAGATGACTGTCCAGTACCAAAGTGACTTTTTTCTTCAGAAAACTCATGTTAATTATAATTTTGAAAGCACTTTCAAAGAAAATGTGACTTCCTACCTTTTTTTGCAGTTCGCCATCTTGCTTTTTAAATTTATTTTCTGTCATGTCTGTTTGTCATCGTCGTCTTTAACCCCTCATAAATCAAAACCCTGCCCTCTTTCTACAAAATCAAACCTGCTGATATTCAAGAGGTGTCACTGCCAAATGTTCAAATGTGTCAATGAATATCAGAATGTCACTTTTGAGTGTCATTTAGTCAGCTGTCATGGCTGTTTTGGTGAGTCTTTTAACCTTATATAGGAAAGGGGTCCTAAAAGTAAGGATTACCCTTTAAAATTCGTTCAGAAAAGAAAATCAAAATTTTGAAAAAGCATGTCTACAACCAATTTTACTTTGCGCGGAGCCCCATAGTAACTTCTAGGGGCCGGCGCGGCGGGTGCATTATCCCATGGAGGAATAATCCACAGCACGCAGCAGGTCAACCGCAGCAGTCAACGCCGCGACGTCAGCTGGTTTCAGGCAGTGGCCGCCTGGCGACGACGACGCCAACGTCGCCGTGTCCACTTTGGACCACAGGTTTCTAAGTGTTTCTGGCTGAACAAAATTCTTAAAACTCGAGTAATATACTTCACAAGCTTTGGAACGATGGTTCCAACTTGACATGATGCTTACCACATCACACTGACTTTAAAAATTGCCAAAACCTCGGATGCTCGGATGCTGCTTTCGCCCATTGTTGACATGCATTTTCAGTCGTTTGAAAAATATTCGGCGATAACCCAAAGATATAGATGCGCATGCGTCATGACCTACTTTATAGCAAAGCATGGTGTTACAAAATATATTTATTACAAATTAGTAAATATTTCGCTCCGTAAATGTTCAGATATTTACATATCGAGATGGTTTGATACAGTAAATGTAATAATTGTAAATAATTTTATGTAATATTTTTTGCAACAGTTATCTGAAACTGAAATATGTTGCAAAAGTTATCTGAAACTGAAATTTACACTATCCAGACAGGTGGACAGAACAATATGTTAAGTAACACCATTACTACCGGAAATAAACAACTCCACGTGCACAGGCGCACGAAAGAACAACGAGCGGAAAATGTTCAGTGTTGAGGATCCGTGATTAAACCATCTAATGTCAAAAATGTCGAAGAAAAGACAGAATGAAGATCAGGGGAAAGAATTAAAGGTAGGTAATCACAAATGTCAAGACAGAGTAATCACGTTTAGCGCGAAGTTGTCACCGGCTTGAGTCAGTTGTCAGTGTGATTTTTCCTCCACACTGTCACCTGGTCACACTTACCGCATGTACCGTGCGGAATATGGTGCAGGGAATTTAAGTCATTGTCTTGTTGTAACATTGTCAATCAACGTCTTACGACGTAAACTGACGTACCAAACTGACTGTGGTGATAGGAGATAAAATCATTTTCTGTCATCATGCTTGTGTGTTGCCCTAATACTATAGCTCAATATGAAAGCATGGTAGTTTTTTTTAGACTGGAAGTTATCCGTTTGAAAACTTTTGTACCTGTTTTATATGAACACTGTGAATGGAAGAATGTGTGCAGAATTTGTTTTTACTACACAGAGAAAGAAACTGTTATCTGAGGTTGCCAGAGGAAAGTTACAGTTTTTGATGCCTGATCATCCAGACTTCAAATCACTGGTAATATGAATTCTTGACGGAGTTTTGACAAAATACTATCCCGGAATCGGACTTGAAATACATTTTCCAATTCTTGGTTTCAGCATTGGCTTTGGGCGATCTTTTTCGGTGTACTAAGCTCTTGGATTCGAATGCCGGCTAAATTTACGCCCTCCTTTAAAAAATTTAATAGATAGATGCCCACTTTTAAATAATCAGAAACAGTTTTGATGTTGTCAGCAATCGGCGAAAAACAATTTCTAGACCCAAAGTCAAACCAGATAGCATATAAGACTGAAGTTTCACTTCTTGTTAACTGTTCGTGATACTACTGATAGGCCTACAAATATCTTCATTCATTATACAGTTTCAAATATTTGTGACTCGAATTGACTTGATCTAAATATTTGACTCGACTTGACTTGACTCGACTGCACACTGCGACTCTATTCGACCTTCTTGACCTAATGACTCTACTGGACTCGAGTCAATGCTTTAAAATAACTCAAATTGACTTGAGTCACTGAACTTGTGTCACAAAAATCAGTGACTCGTTACAACTCTGTTAAAACCTTTGTGAAGAATGGGTCTGAACTTATTTGTGAATGTGAATAAGGAAAAGTTGAGTCACACAGAAAAAATGTTGTTTTTGGTCCATGTTGTTGAAGTATATTTTAGCAATTACATATATGTATCAACTGGGTTTTTTTTTCCAAATGGTGGAAATAGACAATCATTGTGAGTAATGAAACATTTTTATACAAATGTATCAAAATAACTTACCCCTTGTTTACATAGACATATGCATTTTTCATAAAATAACAATTGTTTATTTTGCCACTGCAAAGCAGATGCGAGAGAAGTATTTCAACTTTGCACATGAACCCAGCAGCTGTATTCCAACATCCCTGCAGGAGGAACTGCCATGGGCATTGAACACACTCCATCACCATGGTTACTTCTATCGGGACTGGGTGAAGGTCAAGGGTCAAACAGTCCAGACGCCAGTGTCGCGTACTCTGATTGGTGAACCTGAGACAACGTATAAGTACCTGGGCTTGCGTCTGTTTGCAATCCCATGGTGCTTCGGGGATCATCAAGTGGAGAGCGAGGTCGAAGTGGCATGTGGGATTATTGGAAAACTCAACGATCACTTCAAAGCCGTCTCTAGGAAGTTACTTCTTGAAAGAGCAGGAGAAAAGACTAAGCCAGAGTCTTGTAACTCCCAAGGAGCTGCACAAAGTCCTCTACATCACAGTCCAAGCGAGGAGACCAAGAGTTGTTCACAACAAAAACGACAACTTATAGCCCATCCATCCAGGAGGGAACCGATTTCAATGTTGTGCTCATCAACTACATGGACCCAAAGGATCCAGACCTGAGATTGAAGGCGGAGCCTTATTATGGGATGGGCCCTCTGGCTGTCAGCTGGCACATGGATAGTAATCTGGTCCGGGGCTCCACTGTGGCTGTATACAATCACACCTGCTCATCAGGTTGTAATATTTGCCCATATTTCTGATCCTCAATGAACTTTTTCTGGGGGAAAGGGTGCAAAGGCCTGTTCATGCATGTACTTCGTGCGAATGCAAATTATGCGATACATATTTGAGTCATATCAGAAAGCATTTGCTGCCAAATGTGTTCAACTTTTGAGAATTTGCAGTGCAAAACATTTTGAGTAGCATTCTGCCCGTGGCTTTGCACCATATTATTACATTACTTATAGTCAACTGTGTTGCAACTCTAATTAAGGCCAAGTTCGCGCAAGGACTATAGTTAACCATTGGTCGACTAACGCTTGCCCGAACTCTGTCTAGTCGACGATGGTTAACTACGCTAGTCGACTATTTGGAACCAACATACTGGGGTTGGTTGCTTCGCTGGTAACCATAGCCGCGTGCGTTCATAACGTACAGCAGGGAGCCAGGATCCAGACGTTTTGCAATGACATTTTGACCAGCATTCGACTAGAGACGTTCGCACTTTGCTATTGCTATTCGCACTTTGCTATTAGTGCGCAAGCGCAAGGTACGTCACAAATCAACCACCAGTCGACTAATGGTCCTTGCCCGAACTTGGCCTAACCTGACAATTAAAAGGCAATGATTATGACATCATGAAAGTTCCGTCTAAACACAATTTAGGACAATTATGCAGGGATTAAACAATTACAAGTCACAAGTCAAAAAGGATGGACAATGAACAAATTATTTGCAGAAGTTCATTTGAATAGTTTGTTTTTTGAATTTAGACTTGAGACTGAATGACTTGTGATTAACTTGTGATTGTTTTGTGATTGACTTGTGATGGACTTGTAATTTATTGGGATTGACTTTGTACTTTGTGATTCAAGGAACAATGAAAAGGTGTGGCACACAATCTTCTCGCACATAATTTTTTGAAATATTTCCAGGTGTTAATTTCTGTGTTTTAAACCTGCAACAGATGGAGACAGTTCAAGCGACTCCTCTGATTGGATGGTTGGCCTCAAGGTATCATGGGATATCGAGACACCAGGCGTGGCCGTACCGCTACAAACTGGCGAGTCATACTTCATGTTGGGGGATCTGAATGATACACATCAGCATTGTGTAGTGGCTGGTGGCCAGGCTAGGTTCAGCACAACTCACCGAGTTGCTGATGTAAGTTTTGGTTAACTTTAACCCATCAGCATTGTGTAGTGGCTGGTGGCCAGACTAGGTTCAGCACCACTCACAGAGTTGCTGATGTAAGTTTCAGTTTGTTTTAACCCTTTACTCACTGTAGCGCCCGAAACCCCCTAGCACGCTAAAGTTTAATTGATTCTTCAGTGAATAAACACAATGTAATACATGTGCTAATGGTTAAAGAGCAACTGCCAACAAGTAAAGAAAATTAATTTCCCAACCCAAATCGTAGTCAGTACTCTCAACTCAAGTCATATACATGTATGTTATTTAAATTAACTGGCAATTCAGGAGATTCACAATGTAGTGCGCCACCAAGAGTTTGCAATGGAGAGTCAATTTTTTAGGTAAACAGCCGACAAAACACGGCGCATTTGAATGATCAATGAGTGTCATTAGAAAACTTGAGCTAATTTGTTATAGAGTGGGGCATGGCGTTCTGCCGCTTTGCAAAAAAAAACCCCACCATTTTGATAAAAGAAAAGGGCAAACAGATACTCAAATCGTACTGACTACGAAACTATTGACCGGAAAAACAAAAAATGTCAAATGTCCTGCGCTGCGAATTTGTTGACCATCTCCTACAATGCACTGGGAAATATGAACTCTCCATGGCAAACTCTTGGTGGAGCACAGCATTGTGATCGCCCGACTTGTGATTGTCCCTTTTACCTCAGACACC